ATGCCAAAGCCTGCCCCAGTGGAGAGTTCTTGTGTGCCAACCGGAAATGCCTGGCCCCCGTCTACGTGTGCGATGGTGATGATGACTGTGGAGACGGTAGCGACGAGCTCAAATGCACCTCCCCGTTGACCTGTGGGCCCAACCACCTCCGCTGTAACACCTCAGAGTGTGTGCCACTCATGTGGAGCTGTGACGGAGACCCCGACTGCTCCGACAGTTCGGATGAAGGCCCAGAGCGCTGTGGAGGTGACGGAGTACCGTACCTGCCCAATCACAGAGCTAACTGCACCACTGGAGAGTTCCGGTGTGCCAATGGGGAGTGTGTACGTCTGACCTGGAAGTGTGACGGAGATCCAGACTGCAAGGACAAGTCTGATGAGTCCGACTGCCGTGAGTGGTTCTACTCTACCTGTATCACCTGTCTGATCTGTTCTTTCTTTTTCTGTTGGAAGACCATCTATGCTGCTGCAGCTTTACACAGATGCAGGAAATAACATTTCAGCCTCCATCTCTCCCATACCAGGGAGGCTTAATAGCACGTTTGAAGGTACATTAAGTAAGAATTGTACACTCAAAGGGCCCTACTAACTCTGGTCTAGTGTCTCATTCATGTTGGAAGCAAGCTTACATCGAAATATTTTCCTACTCAGACAGCTAGGGGATTGTCAGGCATTCTCATTTACAAAAAATTACCAAAGAGGGGTGTTTTGTTAATTTTCTAATCCAGTAACAGGAGCGACCCAGAAGTTACTTCTTGTGCCCCAAAGAAGCCACAGAATATTTTTGTTTGCCAACTTTTGAACATTTAAATGTGTGAGGGCGGGTGGTACACAGACTGTTTCACCCTATTAAATTAGCGCACGGGGGTGGAGGGGGTGGGGGTGTTCACCCTGCATGTGTCTAACGCTCAGTGCGTGACAGCTGGGAGCCCTGTGTCAGGTATGGACAGGTAGAGGCTAACATTGAGCTAAAATTGAGCTAACAACGTGCTAACTATGCTAACGGTGAGTCAGAAGCAATTAGTCGGCTCCAAAAATATATTAAGCTACTTTTCAATTACCAACAATGCATATTGCTGTAAAATGTATTTATTTACATATCAGCTTACTGTGTGTGACTCGTCTTCGCTCCTCATTGTTTTTGAGTTTCGCTGAAAGTTTGAATTTATTTTTCATTTCTAACTGTGTTTATAAGGAATGTGTTTCTTTGTCGTCGTCGTCTTCCTCCACTTATCCGGGTCCAGGTCACGGGGACTTTATCCCAACTAGGGAGCTCCAGACCGTCCTCTCCCCAGCCACCTCCACCAGTTCCTCCGGCAGGACCCTAAAGCCGGGCGTACACTGTGCGACTTTTTCACTCGCAGCGTTCAGCTTCAGCTCAAACCGTACGACTTCCTCGCAGAGCAGATCTCACGAGTCGTGTGCTCACACTGTACGACCCATTTCTCGCATGCGACCTGACTGCTCACACTGTACGTCTGGTAGCAACACGTCGGACCTAAAACTGTGCTAAAAATAGCAGTTTTTACTCAACACATCAGACTTTTTTGTCTTGCCTGTTGTCCTTCGGGAGTGCTGCAGGAGGACACACAGGGATTTATGGGGGTTGGATGAGGAAAACGAAATAAAGAAAGTGAATCTGTGTTTTGTGATCAGTTTAATTTGACATGAACACGACAAACACGCTTTCTTGACAATCTTTGTGAGTAAAAAAAAACGTGTAGAAACAAAAACGAACAGCGTGTGTTATTAGGGAAATAGCGAGCGACCGGCGTTGATGCAGGATTGCGCGCGCATGCGCCGTGAGCGGTTCTGATACTTTTTTGGATCGTAGCTGCTCGCAGCGCCGCTTCAACAGTGCGATACCCTCACGAGGGACGAGCGAACTATTAAACACACCAGAAGTCCCTGCGACCTCACGACTGCTGATCGGCGGCTGGTCACGTGGTGTTAATCGCCTCTCGTAACCCCCTGTACACTACACGACCGCTCGGCGCAAAACTCGCCCCGATGTCGTGGCTTCTCGCACGACTGGAAAATCGGCTCAAAAAAGTGAAAAAGTCGCACAGTGTACACCCGGCTTAAGGTGTTCCCGGACCAGATTGGAGATGTAACCTCTCCAACGTGTCCTGGGTCGACCCGGGGGCCTCCTGCCAGCAGGACATGCCCAAAACACCTCCCCAGGGAGGCATCCAGGACGCATCCTGACCAGATGCCCAAACCACCTCAACTGACTCCTTTCGATCCGGAGGAGCAGCGGTTCTACTCCGAGTCCCTCCCGAATGTCCAAGCTCCTCACCCTATCTCTAAGGCTGAGCCCGGCCACCCTACGGAGTAAACTCATTTCGGCCGCTTGTATTCACAATCTCGTTCTTTCGGTCATTACCCAAAGCTCATGACCATAGGTGAGGATTGGGACGTAGATCGACCGGTAAATCGACAGCCTGGCTTTCTGGCTCAGCTCCCTCTTCACCACGACAGATCGGCTCAGTTTCCGCATCACTGCAGATGCTGAACCAATCCACCTGTTGATGTCCCGATCCCTCCTACCCTCACTCGTGAACATGACCCTGAGATACTTAAACTCCTCCACTTGAGGTAGGACCTCTCTCCTGACCCGGAGTTGGCAAGCCACCCTTTACCGGTCGAGAACCATGGTCTCAGATTTGGAGGTGCTGATCCTCATCCCAGCCGCTTCACACTCGGCAGTGAACCTACCCAGCAAGAGCTGAAGGTCAGAGCTGGATGAAGCTAGGAGGACCACATCATCCTCAAAAAGCAGAGACGAGATTCTCCTGCCACCAACCTCGACACACTCCACACCACGGCTGCGCCTAGAAATTCTGTCCATAAAAGTGATGAACAGAACCGGTGACAAAGGGCAGCCCTGGCGGAGTCCAACCCTCACCGGGAACAGGTCCGACTTAGTACCGGCTATGCGGACCAAACTTACACTCCTCTGGTAAAGGGACTGAATGACCCTTTACAGAAAGCCACCCACCCCATACTCCTGGAGCGTCCCCCACAGGGTGCCCCTGGGGACACGGTCATAAGCCTTCTCCAAATCCACAAAACACATGTGGATTGGTTGGGCAAACTCCTATGCCCCCTCCATCACCCTTGCAAGGGTATAGAGCTGGTCCACAGTTCCATGGCCAGGACGAAAACCACATTGCTCCTCCTCTATCTGAGATTCAACTATCGATCGGACCCTCCTCTCCAGTACCTTGGAGTAGACCTTTCCAGGAAGGCTGAGAAGTGTGATCCCCTTATAGTTGGAACACACCCTCAGGTCACCCTTCTTAAAGATGGGGACCACCACCCCGGTCTGCCATTCCACAGGAACCGCCCCCTATGACCACGCAATGTTGTAGAGACGTGCCAACCACGACAGCCCTACAACATCCATAGCCTTGAGATACCCAGGACGAATCTCATCCACCCCCGGGGCTCCGCCGCTGTGTAGTTGTTTGACGACCTCAGCAACTTCTGCCCCCGAGATTGGACAGTCCATCCCCAGGTCTCCCGGCTCTGGCTCCTCCTCGGAATGTGCGTAGGTGGGATTGAGGAGCTCGTCAAAGTATACCTTCCACTGCCCGACTATAGTCCAAGTTGACGTCAGCAGCTCCCCATCCCCACTGTAAACAGTGTGAGCGAGTTGCTGCCTCCCTCTCCTGAGGCACCGGACAGTTTGCCAGAACCTTTTTGGCGCAGATCGATAGTCTTTCTCCATGGCCTCACCAAACTCCTCCCATGCCCGAGATTTTGCCTCGGCAACTGCCACTGCTGCACCCCGCTTGGCTATCCGGTACCTGTCTGCTGCCTCCGGAGACCCACAGACCAGCCACGCCCTGTAGGCCTCCTTCTTCAGCCTGACGGCTCCCCAAACCTCTGGTGTCCACCAGCGGGTACGGGGGTTGCCACCACGACTGGCACTGGCCACCTTGTGACCACAGCTAGCAACAGCCACCTCAACAATCGCAGAGTGGAACAAGGCCCACTCGGAGTCAATGTCTCCCACTGCTCTTGGGACGTGGTCAAAGCTCTGCTGGAGGTGGGAGTTGAAGACCGTCTTGACAGGTTCTTCTGCCAGGCGTTCCCAGCAGACCCTCACTATGCGTTTTGGGTCTGCCAGGTCTACGCGGCATCTTCCCCTGCCATCTGATCCAACTCACCACCAGGTGGTGATCAGTCTACAGCTCCACTCCTCTCTTCACTCGGGTGTCCAAAACATACGGCCGCAGGTCAGGTATTGGGGAGAAATTATGACACGTCTCTAAATAAAGTAAATAAAGACAACCCATAGAAGCACTGATTTGATTTCATTTCAGAGAAAAATAGAACAGGTCAGATGCACCTAATAAATAAAATTACTAACATAAACTCAGGAATCTGTTTCTTTGCTTCACTGTTCTGGTGCTGAGAATATCACTAATGCGGATCAAAGGAGATACACAGATGAGTGCACCTCTTATTTATTATTTGGAAACTACATTTACTGCAGCTGGCAGACGCAGAGATTTTTTCTATTGATACACGGAATTTACAGAATCATTTTGAATTTTAATGGGGAAGACTGCAGGAGGGAGCGGTAAAATACAGGGGCTCCCCAGCAAAAACAAGAAACTACGAGTCTGATGAAACCCGCTGGTTTTCCATCAGGCAGTCACGGGGCAGCTCCAACGACCCAGTGGCTGTGCTGGGTCAATGTTATCGAGCTCAGACCGGCTCGGCCGTGAACGAGCCGAGGCGACGTCGTGCTCTGCTTAAGAAGAGGTGTTATTTTCCCGCTTCAGAAGAAGCGTCCAACGTGTTTTTACGCTTTCTCCGTCAATAGTGCAGCGTAGCCTGCTGGAGGTTTTAAGGGTTCAGATGAAAACACCCGACCTATCGATCTTAAGTTAAGTTAAGCTGTTGCGCTCACATCGTAATACAGTATTTGATGCGGTTAAAGTCAGACATGAAAAAATAAATACATTTTACATAAATAAGTGATGCTTAGCCTGGTGGGGGGAGGAGAATCTGGCCTAGTAAGCACTGGAGGAAACCCTGTCAAGATCGTCAACACTCGTTTATCTTAACGCTATTGAAGCATATAAACGTAAAAGCACCTTTCTAATTTTAAACTCCGTAACTTATGCTGTAACTTCATCCTGCCCTGCCTGCTCCTCCTTGCTGCCCGCCGGCTGTGATCACAAGCGACAACATAGTAGTTCCCGCTGCTTCTTCGGGAAACAGTGCCAAAAAAAAAATTTTTTTTTAAACTTGGGATCTTGTAGGCGTGGCGGTGGGATTTCAGCCGTGGCGGGCCACCACGGCTACGCCTATGTAAGGGAAACCCTGCTCTCGTCCCCCGGGGTAAACCCCAACACACAGGCAGAGTCTCGGGGCTAACAAAAAGCCAGTGTGTTTCTTTGATGTGTGAAAATGGAGCTTCATGATAAAATGGAAGCTGTAGATAAAGGGGAGAGCCCTGAAGCTCCTGGTTCACTCAGCCAGGGTCTGAAGTCCGGATCATCCCAACATTCATTATTAAGATGTGCAGCGACCCCGTCACACTCATCTGTCAGGGCGTGGGCGCAGCGGGGTCCCATATGAAACGTCTACATCAGATCCATGCTTTGGTGTTTGGCCTTAAAGAAAGACTGGTTAAAGACCCTCTCTCTCCTGCTGTAGACTCTATATGAGGGGTTCTTCACCATAAAACCTGAATCTTATACCAGAAACAAACTTAGTGAGGCGTGTATGGCAGCAACCCTGTCTCCATCATGTTTCCTCTGTCTCTGATCCTGTGACAACACTAGAGCACCCCCCTCAGTCATATATAATGTGTTTTAGTGGGCCAGAGGGGATATATGAGGTGCTGTTGATGAAAAGCTTGTCTGTGCTCAGGATTATAATGAATATGTCCTCCAACTCTGGGTTCCTGCACTGAAAATCATTCATTGTGCTCAGGCTGACATTTTAATTTTTCATTTTGTCTTCAGCAAAACCAAACGCTGAACATGAAGTAGTACAGCTAGATTGTGTAACTGCTCTGATTTCATGCCTGCAGATCGTTTTCTTCTATGAGAGATTTCCTCAAATCCAACTAAAGGTTTAGCAGCACTTTAAAGTCTGATCTGATTCTTGTTGTAGCAGGTCCTCTGGGAATTAAATCCTGTGTGTGTGTGTGTGTGTGTGTGTGTGTGTGTGTGTGTGTGCGTGCGTGCGTGCGTGTGTGTGTGTGTGTGTGCGTGTGTGTGTGTGTGTGTGTGTGTGTGTGTGTGTGTGCGTGCGTGTGTGTGTGTGTGTGTGTGTGTGTGTGCGTGTCTTCTACAGCTCTGCTGACATGTCGTCCTGATGAGTTTCAGTGTGGTGATGGTTCATGCATCCACGGCACTAAGCAGTGTAACAAGGTCCATGACTGTCCCGACCACAGCGACGAGTCTGGCTGTATCAACGGTGGGTTTCAGAATGATTCACCCTCCTTCCGTGTATTCCTACATCATGATTAACATTCTGCTTGATTCACTTCTATATCTGAAACATTTTGCATCCAAGGTGTTGAACCAGCACACCGGCCTAGTGGTACGAGTGTCCACTTTGAGAGTGGGAGATTGTGGGTTAATATCCACGGTCGGGTCATACCAAGGACTTTAAAAATGAGACCCAGTGTCTCTTTAGACACTCAACATTAAGTGGGTGGATTAGGGGGTTAAACCACCAAACGGTTCCAGAGCACAGCCACATCTGCAGCTCCGCTCCCCCAGAGGATGGGTCAAACGTGGAGAACAAATGTCATCAGTCTGTAGTGACTAGTCCACTATCCAGTAATGCTCTAGCCTGGCCTGCCAGACTCGTCCTCTGTTTAATTCTGCACAGAGAAAGAGTCTGGTAACTCACAGGCAGAGAGGTACATGAGGGGCGGGACAGAAAAAGACGGAAATGCCGACTGTACCGCTGTAGTTTTTTTAGCTGTAGTAAAAACAAGGCGTCTGGCAACGGTGCAAACACCTTTTATTTTTTTAGAAAAAAGGCTTTTAGCGCTTCTATTTGTTGTAAAGACGTGTCCAAGTCATTTAGAACAGAAGAAAGAGCCGCAGCGAACTCTGCTACAGTCGTCATGTTCGACAAACTCGGCGTGGTGGTGTGTGCCGTCCGCTTCTCAGCGCTGATTGGCCCGTTGAGAATTCTCAGGGGGTGGGGTTATTTGAATAGGAGAGTTCCCAGACCTTTCTCTGCGCAGAAGTAAACAAAGGAGGAGTCTGGCAGGCCAGGCTAGTAATGCTCTACTACACTTTTTGCTAACATCTAGGACAGTGTCCATCGAGGACTGGAGGAATGGAGTTTGAAAACCAGGCGTTGTTTGGCTTCAAGTTTTGAGAAAGACCCAAGTTTTGGTCTTCAGGAATGGACCCGGACCTATAGGACCCTCAAAAATAATAATAATAATAATAATGCATTGAACTTATATAGCGCTTTTCTAGACATCCAAAGACGCTTTCACACACTCTCACATTCACACAGTGCTAGTGATGGTAAGCTACTTGTAGCCACAGCCGCCCTGGGGAGGTCTGACAGAGGCGAGGCTGCCATTTGGCGCCGTCGGCCCCTCTGACCACCACTAACACAGGCAAGTTGGGTGAAGTGTCTTGCCCAAGGACACACCAGCAGGATACCCCTGGCGGGAGCTGGAACCGCACCCATGACCCTCCGATCATGAGTCAACCCGCTCTACCACCTGAGCTACTGCCGCCCTAAAAATCTTCATGTTCTGTATCTGAGCCCCTTAATTCTGACTTTATCAGTACTTTAAGTGGTCCAGCATGCAGCACTTTTAAATTTAACCCATCAGCGTACCAGGACTTTCTTCTAGCGTACGGTCTGTATCGGCAGCCACATCTCCAAATGAGATGTCTCCGGCTCGTAAGCCCCTCCTTTTTGAACCTCCACCTGATTCCGGAGGAGCATAATAGCAGCTCTGTTGTCCCTGATGGGGTCTCCCATAGAAACTTGGTCCTTGGTCATGGTGAGGGACAAAACGGAGAGTACTTTTGAAGGTCTCAGAGTACCAGAGAAACCGGCCAGGGGTTGGCGCCCGTGTGTGAGCATGCTAGCCACGCTTTCCTGTTAACAGCCAACCATTTTCAAATAACTGGAGAAATTTCCTGTGTCTCTGCCTTTTTTTTTACAGCCACCAAATGTGAAGGACCCCTGAAGTTCCAGTGTAAGAATGGAGAGTGCATCGACAGCTCCAAGGTGTGTGACTCTGTCAAGGACTGCAAGGACCGATCTGACGAACCCAAGAGAGAGTGTGGTGAGCACATTATTGATGACTCAAAAGAAATATCCATTCATCACATCCCAGTCTGCTCAAAGCCAACATTTCCTGTTATTAGGAAGTAAAGACGAGCTGATTGAGGTTTACATCAAATCACTCCAGTTCATTTGTAATCCATCACATCTGTAGGGATTTTTTTTCTTACCTGTAAACAAAGTTGCCTAAAGTTTTACTGCAAACAAGAAGGAAAGTTCTGTATTCAAAGACCTTGTGTGTGGTATTATTTAAAACTAATTGCAGTAAAAAAAAAATTTCTAGATAGTGAGACTGTCTCATTTCATCTCACTGAAGCTTCCTACAGTTGGTGCAGAAGCATCAGTGCACATCCAGAATGTGCTCCAGGGGCGGCGTTAGGCCCGGCTACTTGGGCTCAAGCCCCGAATGTTTTATGTAAAGCCCCGGATCTGAAACGTGGAAGTAACATGCAGTACCAAAGTCCAACAGAGAGGGAGCAACTGGCAGTAGTTTGTATACAGCCTGCCTGAGCCTCCACCACTGAAGAAGAAGCCCTTCAGCAGCCGGCTTCTTCTACACTCTCTGCCTGAAACGCATGAGTGAAGATGGACATAAGGACGTTTTTTAGACCAAAAGTACAACGACAGAACCCCAGCTTTGATGAGACTGGTGCTGACTCAGGTTTGTGAGTCTTATTTGAAAATATTTGTTGTGCTGCTGCTTTGCCTAAAGTTAGCTTATCAGGTAAAGTTGATGGAGAAAGGGAATGTTTACTATCATCTCACACTAACAGGAACAATACTCTGCCCTGCAAATGCTTAATATGTAGCTTCAGATTAAAAATTATGTGGTACAAGACAAATATATATAGGGCTGTCATGGTTGACACGTCTCTACAACATTGCGTGGTCATCGGGGGCAGTTCCTAGGGAGTGGCAGACCGGGGTGGTGGTCCCCATCTTTAAGAAGGGTGACCTGAGGGTGTGTTCCAACTATAGGGGGATCACACTCCTCAGCCTCCCTGGAAAGGTCTACTCCAAGGTACTGGAGAGGAGGGTCCGATCGATAGTTGAATCTCAGATAGAGGAGGAGCAATGTGGTTTTCGTCCTGGCCGTGGAACTGTGGACCAGCTCTATACCCTTGCAAGGGTGATGGAGGGGGCATGGGAGTTTGCCCAACCAATCCACATGTGCTTTGTGGATTTGGAGAAGGCTTATGACCGTGTCCCCAGGGGCACCCTGTGGGGGACGCTCCAGGAGTATGGGGTGGGTGGCTTTCTGTTAAGGGCCATTCAGTCCCTTTACCAGAGGAGCGTGAGTTTGGTCCGCATAGCCGGTAGTAAGTCGGACCTGTTCCCAGTGAGGGTTGGACTCCGCCAGGGCTGCCCTTTGTCACCGGTTCTGTTCATCACTTTTATGGACAGAATTTCTAGACGCAGCCGTGGTGTGGAGTGTGTCGAGTTTGGTGGCAGGAGAATCTCGTCTCTGCTTTTTGCGGATGATGTGGTCCTCCTAGCTTCATCCAGCTCTGACCTTCAGCTCTTGCTGGGTAGGTTCGCGGCCGAATGTGAAACGGCTGGGATGAGGATCAGCACCTCCAAATCTGAGACCATGGTTCTCGACCGGAAAAGGGTGGCTTGCCACCTCCGGGTCGGGGGAGAGGTCCTACCTCAAGTGGAGGAGTTTAAGTATCTCGGGGTCTTGTTCACGAGTGAGGGTAGGAGGGATCGGGAGATCGACAGGCGGATTGGTTCGGCATCTGCAGTGATGCGGACGCTGAGCCGATCTGTCGTGGGGAAGAGGGAGCTGAGCCAGAAAGCCAGGCTCTCGATTTACCGGTCGATCTACGTCCCAATCCTCACCTATGGTCATGAGCTTTGGGTAATGACCGAAAGAACGAGATCGCGGATACAAGCGGCCGAAATGAGTTTCCTCCGTAGGGTGGCCGGGCTCAGCCTTAGAGATAGGGTGAGGAGCTCGGACATTCGGGAGGGACTCGGAGTAGAACCGCTGCTCCTCCGGATCGAAAGGAGCCAGTTGAGGTGGTTTGGGCATCTGGTCAGGATGCCTCCTGGACGCCTCCCCGGGGAGGTGTTTCGGGCATGTCCTGCCGGCAGAAGGCCCCCGGGTCGACCCAGGACACGTTGGAGAAGTTACATCTCCAATCTGGTCCGGGAACGCCTTGGGGTCCTGCCGGAGGAGCTGGTGGACAAGGCCGGGGAGAGGACGGCCTGGAGCTCCCTAGTTGGGATGCTGCCCCCGCGACCCGGACCCGGATAAGCGGAGGAAGACGAGAGAGAAGACAAATATATATGATGTTGACTAGTGTCACGTGTGTGTGTGTGTGTGTGTGTGTGTGTGCGCACGCGCGTGTGTTAAGCCCCGGATCTTCTTCAGTCCTAAATCCGCCCCTGATGTGCTCCAGGCCAGTTCTTACCTGTGTACAGATATATTCACTTCTAGTTGTACAATACTACTTGAATACACCTTCACACATAATAAAGTTGTATTAATGGTGTAGTTGAGTGTTTTGGACCTCTAGATGTTTCTGCATACTTCTGCACCTTGCTGTTCAGATCAGGTGTTAATCTAAAGTAATGAGCATGTTTGACTCAACACAAGCAGGCCGGGTAGAGTTGACTAACAGCTGCCCCGTAGAGACTGGTGGTTACCAACACGCCGCGGCTGCAGAAGCTTTAATACACACAAGAAGAGTTTATTAAAGTAAAGCACGAGTGCCTCTGCAGATGTGCAGGTGCTGCTGGTACGTGTGCAGCGCAAATGCCAAACCACAGGTTTGACATGGTTATTAGATAATGTTGAAACAAAGCGTGAGTGCAGCTGGTGCCTCTGCAGACACGCAGGGGCGGCTGCTGTTTGAGAGAAAACACGTTTCAGGTCTGGGATTTAATGATGTTGACTGGATTAATGGAGCTCAGTGTGATCTCATGCAGGATCAAAGAGGTTTCTACAAAAACTTTGTATTAAGACGCGTCTGCTGTGGTTGGGTGTCATCTGAACACCATTTGGAGGTGATCGTGCTGCCTTTGTCCATCAGAATAATCTAAAGGTGCTCCAAACCACATGGAGGACAGTTTTTTTTTTATTCTAATAAATTTGACTCGATAATTTAACCCGAGCCCATTAGTCCTGAACCATTTGAATTAAGTGACATTTTTACTGCTAGTTACATTTATGGAAAGCAGAAAAAATCTGACAGGAAGTAAAAAATCAAACAGCTTCATCTCTAAACGTTTTTACAGACGCTGAACGTGGAAGTGTGATGTATGGAGAGGTTCTGTTTTTACAGAGTAAGAGGTAGACATGAAGTGACATTTCCTCCCAGCAAATTCTATTTGAGTGTGAAAAGTGCCAGCAGGCAGACTGCGTCGACCTCTGCCAGCGAAGGAAATTACCGGACCGAGACCTTCCAGTCATTCCAGTCCTCCGCTCATTAAAAGCATGTCCACACACACACACCTAGCTCGTCTCTGATCGCTCAGCCATTTACTCGAAGGATGTTCCGTAGCTTGAACACACAGAAAACACACAGAGACTTGAGTGTGTGTGATTCCCCGCTGCAGGGAAACACACCTACAGGCTGACGTGGCTGCATTTGCCTCCTGCGTCTCAGCGCTGAGGCTAACGTTCCCCTCTCTCATTGGGAATAATAACACAGTACCAGAGCACTAATCCCTCAACAGGAATGGCTGCAACGGCTGTCTCGGTCCACAAACAACACTGACAGAAGGACGAGGCAGATTCGGGTGGAGCAAAGGGGCAACGTGACGTTTGTTCTCTGGTCGCAAAAGTGAAATGGCCTCTGATTCTGGTCTCTCCTTGGATTCAGATAAAAGCTGCTGATGCCCCTCCTCCCCAACAGACAGAACAAGTTGAGATGTACGTCTTGATCAATCAATCAGATTTATTTATAAAGCGCTTTTCAAACAAAGTGCTACTCAAAGTGCTTTACAAATGATCTCTTCTTCCACCTGCAGTCTATTTTGAACTGGCAGAGAGAGAATAGCGAGTGCTGATCTGAGTGCAGATTTCTGTCACTCATCAGGGAGGAATATTTAATAGTGACAGTGGCTCAAGGTCTGCTGGCTCTGGTGAAACAAATCACCACAAACTCACCTTCAGGTTATTACAAACAGGAATGTTGATGTACGGCAGCTCAACCCCCTACCGCTCCACATCTGAGGAGGGGCTCGTCGTTGGTCTCTGGAGGATCTGTGTTACCAATGTTTCATTCTGCTTTCAGCCAATCTCAGAACATCAGAGAGCTCTGCTCATTCCTGTCAGCTCTACAAAATATTTCACCTACTTTCAGCTCCTTGTTTAAATTCTGCAGCCTGCAGCTTGTGTGTTTTGGTTCACTCTAAAGCAACCATCTCAGGACTATATAACATAATATAATATAATATAATATAATATAATATAATATAATATAATATAATATAATATGATATAATACTATATAAAATAAAATAATATAATATGATATAATACTATATAAAATAAAATAATATAATATAATATAATATAATATAATATAATATAATATAATATAATATAATATAATATGATATAATATAATATGATATAATACTATATAAAATAATATAATATAATATAGTATAATATAATACAATATAAAAAATAATATAATATAATATAATACAATATAAAATAATATAATAATATAATATAATACAATATAAAATAATATAATAATAATATAATATAGTACAATATAATATAATATAATATAATATAATATAATACAATATAAGATAATATCATAATATCATATAATACTATATAATATAATATAATGTAATATAACATAAAATAATAATATAATATTATATTATACAATATAAAATAATATAATAATATAATATAATACAATATAAAATAATAATATAATATAATATAATATAATACCATATCATATCATATATTATAAAATAATATAATAATATAATATAATACAATATAAAATTATATAATAATATAATATAATATAACACAATATAATATTATATAATGTAAAATAATAATATAATATAATATAATAATATCATATCATATCATATATCCATCCATCCATCCATCCATCCATTTTCTTCCACTTATCTGGAGTTATGAAGGGGGTGCAGTAGTCTAAGACGAGAGGCCAAGACTTCCCTCTCTCCAGCCACTTGGGCCAGCTCCTCCTGGGGAATCCCAAGGCGTTCCCTGGTCAGGTGAGAGACACAGTCCCTCCAGGAGGTCTTCCAAGTATTCTGCCCACCGATCCCCAACGTCCTGAGAAGAGGTCAGCAGCACACCGTCCCCACTATAGATAGTGTTGGTAGCGCACTGCTTTCCCCCCCTGAGGTGCTGGATGGTGGACCAGAATCTCCTCGAAGCTGTACGGAAGTCTTGCTCCACGGTCTCACCGAACTCCTCCCATGCCCGGGTTTTTGCCTCGGCGACCACCCGAGCCGCTTTCCGCTTGGACTGCTGGTGCCCGTCAGCTGCCTCTGGAGTCCCACAGGCCAAAAAGACCTGATAGGTCTCTTTCTTCAGCTTGACAGCATCCCTAACCGCCGGTGTCCTCCGGCAGGTTCGGGGGTTGCCACCACGAAAGGCAGCAACGATCCTGCGACCACAGCGCCTGTCGGCCGCCTCAACAATGGAGGTACGGAACAGGGTCCATTCAGACTCAGTGTCCCCCGCCTCCCCGGGAACATTTTGGAAGTCCTGTCAGAGGTGGGAATTGAAGCTCCTTCTGACAGGAGACTCTGCCAGACGTTCCCTGCAGACCCTCGCGATACGTTTGTGCCTGCCTGGTCTAACCAGCATCCTCCCCCACCATCTGAGCCAACTCACCACCAGGTAGTGGTCAGTTGACAGCTCCGCCCCTCTCTTCACACGAGTGTCCAAGACATGCGGCCGCAGGTCAGGTGAACAACAACAAAGTCGATCATCGAGCTGCGGCCTAAGGTATCCTGGTGCCAAGAGCACATATGGACACTTTTATGTCTGAACATGGTGTTCATTATGGACAATCCATGACTGGCACAGAAGTCCAATAACAAAACACCATTCGAATTCAGATGGGGGGGGGGGGGGGGGGGGGGGGGCGTTCCTCCCAACCACATCTCTCTAGGTCTCACTGTCGTTGCCCACGTTTCGTCTTCGGGCTGTGCCCGGCCGGGCTCCATGGGTGAAAGCCCGGCCACCAGGGGCTTGCCAACGTGCCCCAACTCCAGGCCTGGCTCCAGAGGGGGGGCCCCGGTGACTCATGTCCGCACTAGGGAACACAGTCACGGACTCTCCACACGTCAGTGAATGCAGCCGCGATAAGCAGCGCTCGTCACCTCAGTCTGGACAGGGGTGGGAGGTTGTTGGGTTTAGAGGGCACAGTGACTCCTGGAACGATTCAGCTGCCTTCACAGCTTGCAGTCCCGCCCAGGCTGGGATAGGAAGACAGAGTTGCCATGGCGACGGCAGCATTCCACATTTCTTCGGGGGTGGGGGTGGGGGTAATTTCAGGCTCAAGGGCACCAGATTCAGACAAGAAATTGTTTTGTGGCCAGACAGAGATAATTTCCTCTCTGTCTTAAAGTTCCGTTGGTCCTCAACCTCTCAGAATCCAATAATGGCGTAAATTAATCTATCCCAATCCGTGCTGATTCATCTACTCGCTCCTTGATCGCATCCATCTTTTGTGCCAATGCATGAATCTCAGCCAAAGTTCCAAGCTTATGACTCATCTCGACAATTATGTGAGTCTGTGCATTCACAGCGTGATGCATTCCATCCCTGAGCTCTGGGAAAGAGCCAATACTCCTCGACAGCTCGTTAATTTTCCAGTAAGCCAGGTAGCCTCCAAGGCAAAAAAGTAGGAAACCTGACACCAACACCACCAACATCCAGACATCTTCAGAATCCTCTACAGACAGTTGAGATAAGCAAATCAGGTTCCACCGTTTCCAGGAGTCCATGATATGCCCAACTGGGTCTGTCCCAGAGGGGCACTCGGGAGCCCCTTCTCCCGTTTTCATCGTTGAAAAAATGTTGTCAATTGCATTGAGAGACCAACTGACCAGGTCCATTTTAGTAATTTCAGTTTCCAGTTTTCCAGAAAACATGCAGAAGCGCTGTACACCCAGAGACAGACAAAGAGCCTTGGGATAAGATAAGGAGAAGAGGAGGAAAAAAGCGTCTGTACTCTCCAAAAGCCGGAATATAATATAATATAATATAACATAATATAATATAATATAATATAATATAATATAATATAATATAATATAATATAATATAATATAATATAATTTAAACACAACCATAAAGCACCAAAATTAGCAGAAGTTTCCATCTTTCATCCAAAGGAGGCAGATTTGAATTATTCTATGATCTTCTAAAGTGTAGCAATGTCTCTTTTTGGTAGAAACCTTTCTAAGCTGCTCCTTTAAACCATTCTGGTGTCTTTTGTACTCCAGTCACATGCCAGCTGCTCTCATCCATTTTAAGACAAAGTGTGTCATGAGTCATTTTTACATCATATATTTTAGTTCCAGTCATTTTTAGGATGTACGATGTGATCCTTTAATTTAGCATTCCTTCTCTCGTGTGACAGGTTCTTCTGGGGCTTCTCAGAGTCTTAGCTGGCAGCATTCATGATCTCTACACACCCTACATCCCAGCAGATGAGCCTGATTTTCAATTAAGCAGGTCTACGTGTGTCAGGGTATCCATTTGGACTCTCTCTGTCCTCTTGAGGACTGCTGATAGTTCAGTACATCTCTGTGTAAAGGATGGGTCGTTTACATCTTACTTATGAACCATAAAATGTGAGATTCCATAGGAATATCAAATATCAATCTGATTTAACCAGAAGATCGGAACTTTTTATTGCAGGGATTAAGCGACACTTCGTATTAACTCCGAGGAAAGAGTCAGGTTTAAAATAGTTAAGAAATTCATTTCTACACAATTTAAACAAGACTAACTTAAACACTCTGTGTACTGATGGACTAAGGTGGAGTGAGACGTGATGAATGATGATGGTGTGTGTGTGGAATGTTATTCAGAACCAGCGGATCCGGAGAAGCAGTTAGTTCTGAGTGGGAGTGAATGTTTCGCTCTAAACTTTAGTAGGAGATTTATAACACACATGAAACGCCATCTGTTGGTCTACGTACCCAGGGGAAGCCTCCGATCAGATCCAGAATGTCGAGGTCCTCTTGGACCCTTCTTGGTACCGAAGCCGGTAGAAAAGCAGCGGTGCCGACCAAACTAGTCTTGGAATGCTTCCAGGTCACGACAGGTCATTACTGGCGTCTCCGAGACCCTGAAGGGGTCGTGAGGTTCAGCTTTTATTCTGAAGGAACTGTTGCAGTCAGGTGTACTTGCAACAGATTTTATCCAGCTTGTCGAGGTTCTTTATGGCTGAAGAGGAAGTCCGGATGGTCTGTCCGAGACTTCTCTAGAACGCTTGAACTAAAGAAAAGGTGGTGTGGAATAGTTGTTATAATTGTCATATTTTGGTTTACTGGCGAATCAGAATTTGACGTGCAAAAGAGGGTTTATACTAACACCACAGATAACCACGCCTAGCCAGTAACAAAGGTTCTGACTGGATCAGACAAAAGGAAATGTGTCGGGTGACTTTAGCATTACGTGTCATCAGTGTCTAGTGCAAATGTCCAGGATTATAATTACTGGTAAAATACTACTGATCACAGGATTTTAATATCAAGTAATAACATTGTCATTTCACAGATTGATTGAGCATTGGGCTCACATTATTATTGGTAATAACGAACGTTGTTGATTATGTGTTTATCAAGAGTTCTTCGTCTTCGTCTTGAGCTGTAAAAAGGTGAAGCAGTTCAGATGAGCAGAGTGCATGAAAGACCTTGGCCACTATCTCATGTAGATTAGCCTGTCAGAGACTTTATTGGGCCATTCCCATCTGTACCGGGTCGGCCCGGGCCGGGTAGCCCCAGTCGGCCCCAGCCTGGCCCGGTTGATTCCACACATCCTTGTCTTAAGCCCATGTGGGCTGATTCTACCCACCAATCAGAGGCTTGCTCTAATGGAAGGTGTGAATTTGCTGTCAGCAGTGGGTGTGTTGGCCCTGGTCGGCCTGAAGCAGACCCCCTCGAGAAGAGGGCTGAGAATGAGCCTTGGTTGGCCCGGAAAAATATCGGGCCACCCAGATATGTAAACAACCTACGCTACCCGGCCCGGGCCGACCCGGTACAGATGGGAATGGCCCATAAGTCTCTGCTCGAGCAGACGCAGCAAATCATGACCTTTAGGTCAAAAACAGGACATCCATGACGCTACACCTGTGTCCATTAGCTGTAGACATATCAGCTGTTTGTGCTGAGGTGGATCTGCTGGACATCCAGGCCTAGGCAGAGATAAATGTTTTCCTCTTGGGTTTTTTGTGTGTGTGACTCTCAGGGTTGAACGAGTGTATGATCAACAACGGTGGCTGCTCCCATGTCTGCATGGACCGACCAATAGGCTTCGAGTGCCAGTGTCCCACTGGATACCAGCTGCTGGACAAGAAGACATGTGGAGGTAAACTAACTTCAGCCTGGATGCTGATAGTGTGTGATGATTGGAACCGTGACTGTTTCTGTGCTTGGCACCAATCTCACACACGTGCACGTAGCGTGTCCTTCACACCCTCTGTTTTAACACCACCCTTCACACACACGCGTAAAGGTGGTTGATGAGAAGGAGGTCAGGAAAAGTTGACAGGGATGCACGCTTTCTCTCTGTCCTTTGTTGCTGTTGACATGAACACACTTCTCCAACACAAAACCTGTTTTATTTGACAACTTCACCACTTTCGAATATAGTGCAGCCATTTTTAGCGATCTTCAGATTTTATGTGTTACTGTTTATAGGCCTCCGAGGCACAGTGCACTTTTTATACAGGAATTTTCCAAGTTTTTATCAATTCTGCACAACTCTTTTGATAGTATTATTTTAGCTGGTAATTTTAATTTACACATAGATGACCCTGCAGACCCTTTTACCACTGAATTTTTAAACATTTTGAGTTATATGGATTTTACACAACATGTTGCACAACCAACCCACGAGGTCATCATGTATGGTCTGTCCACCGGTGTGTCCTCTGTCGTGGATTTAGCGATCTCAGATGATTTCTGTGTGTTTTTTGGCATTACCAGCATAATTCAGCAGGAGACCTCTGTGAGAACGCCATCTAACCCCTGAAGTGGCTGCTGGTTTTCTGGAAACTTTTAAAAAGAACCCTCCTATTAATTTAAATGCCCCCTGTGGTTTTGTCTTCAATGATTTTAACAGTAGACTTAAATCTACTCTGGATCTGCTCGCTCCACGTAAAATTAAAAAGCTACAGCCAAAACCGGCTTCCCCTTGGAGCAATGAAAACTTAAACATGTTGAAAAGATCTTGCAGGGCGGCGGAGACAAAATGGAGGAAATATAAGAACACAATTAATAAACAAATATACACTAAATTATTAAAATCATACAACAAAGCAGTTAGAAATTCCAGAAATAATTACTTTTCTAAAATCATCTCTGAACACAAAAATGATCCCAAAATTCTGTTTTCTACAGTCACAAATATTTTGGGTCGTGAATTTAGTTTTTTCCAGAAAACCCCCTAGGATGCTCTCTGTGAGGAGTTTGCAGCCCACTTCAGAGGGAAGGTAGACACCATCAGACGTAACATTTTATCCTCCCAATGTCATGCTGCTCCTGATCAATCTGAGAGTGTGTGTCTACCTGAGGAAACACTGGACAGTTTTGTCTTGGTTGAAGTTGAGATTATTGATAAAGTTTTCTCCTCAGTGAGGCCCACCACATGTGTTCTGGACCCTATCCCCACAAGGTTTTTTAAACAATTTTATGACTCTTTTAGAGATGAGATTTTAACTGTGATGAACTGTTCCCTTCAGACGGGGGTCTTTCCTGCTGCTTTTAAACAGGCGGTGGTCAGACCCCTGTTGAAGAAGAGCAACTTAGATTTTAATGACTTTAACAATTTTCGACCGGTATCCAACTTACCATTTTTAAGCGATGTTTTAGAGAAGCTTGTTTTAATACAACTTAATGATTTTATCAACCGCTAACATGTCCTAGAGAAATTTCTGTCTGGTTTTAGGGTGAACCACAGCACTGAGACAGCCCTTCTGGAGATTTTAAATTACTTTAGAACAAATTATGATGCTCGGAGGGCAACAGTGTTGGTTCTGCTGGATCTAAGTGCTGCCTTTGATACAGTAGACCACACTATTCTTTTAACCCGTTTAAAACAGATCGGCCTCTCTGGTGCTGTTCACAGTTGGTTCACTTCCTACCTCACAGACAGGACTTTTATGGTGAGTTTGGATACCTGTTCCTCTGGGGTCTACAGCATCACATGCGGGGTGCCTCAGGGTTCAATTCTAGGCCCAGTGCTTTTTAACCTCTATATGCTCCCTCTGGGCAGCGTCATCAGGAGACATGGGGTGATTTCCACAGTTACGCTGACAATACACAGTTGTACTTCTCCGTGTCTCCTGATGACGCACAGCCAATGGAAACACTTTTTAACTGCATTTTAGATATTAAATCACGGATGACTGAAAACTTTCTCCAGCTCAACCAGGGCAAAACTGAAGTTTTAGTCATCGGTCCTGAGACCCAGAGAGAGAAACTTTTACCTATCTACAATCAATGTCTTTTTATCCATCACTACAAGTGAAGACTCTGGGTGTTATTTTCGACTCTGAGCTGACTTTTCTCCCCCACATTGAAAACATCACAAAAATAGGTTTTTACCATCTTAAGAAAATCGCCAGAGTCCGCCCCATTCTCTCTCGGGCCAATAGGGAGATGCTGATGCATGCTTTTGTAACCAGTAGAATTGATTACTGCAATGCCCTGCTTTCTGGTCTTCCCAAAAAGAGCATCTCAGGTTTACAACTTTTACAGAACTCAGCAGCACGTGTCCTGACGAAGACCAGGAAGCGGGAGCACATCACTCCGGTTTTAGGATCACTGCACTGGCTCCCCGTATGTTTCAGGATCGATTTTAAGGTTCTTTTAATGGTTTTTAAGTGTCTTAACGGTCTTGGGCCTTCTTATCTTTCAGAAATGCTTTTACTATATAAACTCTCGCGGACTCTGCGCTCCTCTGGCGGCCGTCTCCTAGTTATCCCTAAAGTTAAGACTCACACCCACGGCGAGGCATCCTTCAAGTACTACGGCCCTCACCTTTGGAACGGGCTGCCGGAGGACCTCAGGGCCGAAGGGAACGTCCAGGCTTTTAAGAATAGGCTCAAGACCCACCTTTTTAGCTTAGCTTTTAACTGATCACTATTTATCTACTTATCTAGTCCGTTTAACTGAATCGTCTGTCATATTTGTTTATATATATATACATATATATATATACATATTTATCTCTTTGAATTAATTTTATCATTTTATTTACATCTTAGTGTTTTTACATGATTATGCTTTCTTTTACTATCTTCGTAATCACTTTTTATCAGTTACTTTTTATCCATATTACCTTTTGTTATTTTACAGTTATACATTTTAATCCTCCAGTGTTTCCTCTGCTGAGCCCTCTGCCTTGGGGCCGGTGGTCGGCGGCAGCGGCCGGGGCGCTCCTCGGGTAGTGCCCGGGCAGTGGTGGGGGTTTCTGCCCTCCCCCACTGGGTGTCATGGGCCGGTGTCTTGGCTGCTGCCATGGATCTGTTGCTGTCAGGGCAGATGGCTCCGCTGATGATGTGTCGTTCATTACCTGACCCATCTGAACTCAGCCTATTGTTTCCTCTGTTGTTCGCGCGTGTGTGTGTGTGTGTGTGTGTGTGTGTGTGTGTGTGTGTGTGTGTGTGTGTGTGTGTGTGTGTGTGTGTGTGTGTGTGTGTGTGTGTGTGCGTGCATGGACAAGTGTGCGGGTGATTGTATGTCCACTTTGGAAGTTGGGTGCGGGAGGGGAACCGTAATTGTCAATTGTTTTATACTTGGGGAAGGGTCTGGGATGGGAATATGGGATCTATGGGGCCATTTTAATCTGTGAAGCACTTTGAGTAGCATTTTTTGTATGAAAAGTGCTTAAAATAAAATAAATAAAGTTGATTTGATTTGATAACAGTCATAAGGAAACATCCGCATCACCCAGCATGTCAGCCATATTGGTGAAAAGCGTTGGTAAATTTAAAAACCAGCGTTCTAGTTTTACCATCCGCACAGACGATTAATAACATCTGCTCCCTCTCTTTGCTGCAGACATTGATGAGTGTGAGAACCCTGATGCTTGCAGCCAGATATGCATCAATTACAAGGGGGATTTTAAATGTGAATGCTATGATGGATACGAGATGGACCTTGTCACCAAGACCTGCAAGGCAGAAGGTGAGTTACAACTAATCAGATTGTGGAGATCCTCCAGTTTGGATAAAAATGGATCTGCAAAGGGGAGAAAACAGGGAACGAACACTTACATTTTGAGAAAACAACAATTTTGAGTCTATTGTGTTGTTGCAGGGAGACCTTTGTTTAGTTGCTGTTGAACCTGTTTTGAGCGTCTGCCTCCTTAATGGTGTAAAAGCTGCCTTGTGCTCTTGATAATGAGACATTCTGAGTTATGGTGTTGGCTCATTAGTGGAACCAATCACTATGCTCGTGCAACAGTGCCAGAGCCTCTGCTCCTCACAATCACAAACATCTTTCTGCCATTATGTCCTTATCGTCCTCTCACAGCTGTTGGCATACGTGGACGGATCTGCTAAAACACCGAAAAACAAACAGAATCAGGGCGTTCGCTCTGTTTTCCCCGAGCCAAATGTGTCCGCCACCCCGTTTGGGTTTATAAGAGAGTGAGGCGCTGATGTGTGTAGCCTTGCTGTACATTTGTAATTAGTCATCTCAACTCTTCAGGGGAATCCGGATCATGGTGGAAGCTAAATTCATCCATTTAACTAGCTTAGCCTCCTGTCTGGTGATAAATGTTGGGGACAAAGTCAGCTACTAAAAGGTCACAGGATGGGTTAATTTTGGCTTCCAGCTTTGACCACGAGTTATCATCCAGTTCCTGACACATAATGACTGTTTAATCTTGAATGTCATTATGTATTTATTTATTTATTTACTTACTTACTTACTTACTTACTTACTTATATTTCTAGAGGATAAAACCCCTTGAGGTGCATCATCTCGTTTTCAAGGGGGTCCTCCATTAAAACACCATGTTATGCTTAGTTTACCCCAAATTAGAATGACTCAACTGATGGGAAACAATCTATGACATGAATCATGTTGAGTTGTTGTCTGTGGTTGTCAGATCCTGTAAGATGAATGAATCTGAGGTAATCCAAACCTCAGCTGTCCCCGTGGTGTATTTGCATCCCTACACACCCGGTGTGTGTCCTGAAAATGCATCTTCCTCCCTGAAAGTCACCAGTTTTCAACCTATTTGGAAAATGCTTGGATATTATTGTTAATAGTGATGCATGTCTTCTCAGTTATCATGACACGACTTCATTCCATGTTGTTAAAGCAGTCCCGACGGCCATGTTGTCATCTACACAAGTGTGTTTCTCTGTGGATGAAATCCCAGTGTGTTTGCTATCAGCCCATCTGGACTGAACTGGACTGAGTGTGTGTGTCAGCTGCTCACTCCCAATAAAAACACCCTGGCCCAAAACACAGGCTTGCCAGCAATTTCCCCTTTAGGGAGTTTAGAGATGTCAGTGTAACGACCTGTTTGGTTCCACGTGAGTCTGTCAGGAGCAGAACTGCTGCAACGAGGTTGTGACGCAAACTGTTTAAGAGAAAAAATAATCTGAGCCATAAAAAAAAAGTCATATCTGCTTCCAGAGGTGAGTCGCTGCAGCTGCCATCGTGGTAGCGGACCGTTTCAAATGGAGGTGGGCTCCGACCCAGGTGGGCCGTGGTTCTGGTTTCATAGACTAATTTAATGCCATTCAGGTCAGGTGATTGACTAAGCAATTTCCTTTTCTGAATTTCAGGTCCAAAGATGAGAACTTCACTCTTGTCTTGATTTAAAAGAAGAAAGTTTAGAGTTATCCAATTTTTTGTGTCTTCAAGACAAGCCTGTAGTCTACCTAACCGACCAGGTTCATCAGGGTTAATGGATAGATATAACTGAGTATCGTCAGCATAACAGTGGAAGTTTATCCCATGCTGTTTAATGATTTTACCAATTGGGAGCATAAATATAGTAAAAAGAATTTGTCCAAGCACTGAACCATGTGGTACTCCACAAGTAACCCTGGAGTATGAAGAAGATTTGTCATGTACATTTACAAAATGAAATCTGTCAAACAGGTAGGATGTAAACCAGCCTAGCGCTGTTCCAACGTCACCCAAATACCATTATTTTGGGGTGTTCACCCAAACATCGCCCAAACTTCATTATGTTGCAGTGATCACACCAACGGGACCCAAACATCATTATTTTGGACTTTTCTGCCCATTACCCATATATCTTTATTTTGAAGTGATCACCTCCAACGTCACCCAAATATCATTATTTTGGGGTGTTCACCCCAGGGTCCTAATTGTTATGCACCTGGGGAATTTTGGGAAAGTAAGCGGTTTGAATGGCTGCGTGCACTTCCACAAATTATACATCAAATTGACCGACTCGGCCGTGGGACGTGTGCTGTTACTCTTTTATTCAATAGGATTCACCATGGCAAAGTTATTGGCAAAAAACATTAGAAAAATGTTCATTTTCAGTGTGTGCATGACTCAGTCTGCCAGGACCAAATCTTGACCAGTTGCATCAAGGGCGGCTTGAACGGCAGCGTGCAACCCCCACTATTTAGATGGTAAATGGCCTGTATTTGATATAACGCCTTCTACAGTCATGGAACATCTCAAGGTGCTTTACAACACAATCGGTCATTCACCCATTCACACACACATTCATTCACTGGTGGGGATGAGTTAGGATGTAGCCACAGCTGCCCTGGGGCACACTGACAGGGACGAGGCTGCCGAGCACTGGCGCCACCGGTCCCTCCGACCACCACCAGCAGGCAACGTGGGTTAAGTGTCTTGCCCAAGGACACAACGACAGCGACAGACTGAGCGGGGCTCGAACCTGCAACCTTCCGATTACGGGGCGAGCACATAACTCCTGTGCCACCGTCACAACATCACCACAAAGTCAGGATTTTGGGCTGCTGTTCACCCCAACGTCATCCAAATATCATGGCTTTGGGTTGTTCTACCCCAACGTGACCCACATTTCATGATTTTGGGGTAATCACCCTAATGTCACCCCAATATCTTGATTTTAAGTCTCAAACACATGGCCACTCTCTTTTGCCAGCAGGCAGGTCTCTTTTTAAAATGTCTCCAGGAATTTTCTAGCGTTTACATCTGCCAGCCAATAGAGGGCACCATTGCGTGTTACCAGATACAGTACACAGTCTGCTTGGCACAGCGAGGCTGGCACTGCAGAAAATGGCGGACTCGACCAGTCAAGCAGCTGCTTCTGAGCCCAGCTGTTCTAACGTTGACTATAAAATAAACAGTAGAAACTAATCCTTACGCTGTACAATTTGTCACTACACATGGTGTTGGCTGATCAATACATACATCAGCAGTGAATTTGGCATCCCAACGTATGGAACCCTTGTTCTATTGTTGCAACTACCGCCACACTCTTGCTATGGTGTTCCATATTCAACTTTCAACCCTTCATATCAGAGATCCAGCAAGGTTTAGTTACCGTTCTTCTGAGGTTCTGGTCCATAATTACAAGACCGCATCAGCTCTATTCATGAGAAGCTCCACATCCCTGAGAGCTTAGGCCCTGTCCACACGTAGCCGGGGATCTGCCAAAACGTAGATATTTTTCTACGTTTTGGCCTGTCATCCACACGAAAACGGAGTTTTTTCACACGAAAACGGATCTTTTTAAAAACTCCGGCCAAAGTGAAGATCTGCGTTTTCTCCGTTTTGGGTGTCTGTGTGTGGACAGACAAAACCGGAGTTTTAAGGTCCACAACGTCACTTTCCGCGACAAAAAATGCTGACATCACGTGTGCGACCTGTGTTTACACTAGCCGACAGCATAGATGCCCTCAGAGCTGCGCTCGCTTTATCAATTGTCCAAGCGCTTTTTGCTTGTTTGTTTTTGCAAGCGGAATTACTGCTCCTTGTGGAAGACCACAGACGAAGGACGAGGTTAAGAACGGGGGACGTACTGCCGCCTACAGGTCTGGCATGTCCTTAACAACGTATGTCCGGGTACGTGTGGACAGAGTTTTTTTATTAAAACGAGGTGGTGTGGATGCAAGTTTTTGGAGGGGCGGATATTCGTTTTTAAAGAAACCCGGCTACGTGTGGACTAGGCCTTAGACCGTTGGAGTCCAGTGAACTCACCATTCAAGAACAAGGAGAATTTTCCTGCAGATTAGTTACAAAGTGTTTCCGTTCCGCTTCAGTTTTCTCACGACTCCCCATTAGTTTGTTTGCTATAGTGGCTACCAGCTCTCAAAGTCTTCTCACATTTCCTGCACTGAGACTTGTGGTAATAAAACGGGTGAGGCTTCCAGAGGGGATGAGGCGTAGCTCAGAAATGGAGGTTTTTCACTAACAGACCCTTTATAAACCTTCATTTTGTTAGGAACAAACATGCTTACAGAGTTCGACAGCCTCACCTGTCAGCGCACCCCGGGGCAGCTGTAGCTACATCGTAGCTCATCCCCACCAGTGTGTGAATGTGTGTGTGTATGTGTGTGTGTATGGGTGAATGACTGATTGTGTTGTAAAGCACCTTGGGGGTTCCAGGACTCTAGAAGGCGCTTTATCAAATACAGGCCATTTACCATTTAAAGCCTCAGAGCTGGAAGCAATGTCCTAAATAGACACTTTGTCCACTGATTAAATCAGTTAAAGGTAAAATACGGAAGATTTAGGCCTAGTCCACATGTAGCCGGGATTTTTAAAAACGAATATCCGCCCCTCCAAAAACTTGCATCCACACCACCTCGTTTTAAAAAAAACTGTCCACACGTACCCGGATAAATACGTTGTTAAGGACATGCCAGACCTGTAGGCGGCAGTACTTCCCCCGTTCTTAACCTCGTCCTTCGTCTGTGGTCTTCCGCAAGGAGCAGTAATTCCACTTGCAAAAACAAACAAGCAGAAAGCGCTTGGACAATTGATAAAGCGAGCGCAGCTCTGAGGGCATCCATGCTGTCGGCTAGTGTAAACACAGGTCGCACACGTGATGTCAGCATTTTTTTGTCGCGGAAAGTGACGTTGCGGACCTTAAAACTCCGGTTTTGTCCGTCCACACGCAGACACCCAAAACGGAGAAAACGCAGATCTTCACTTTGGCCGGAGTTTTAAAAAGATCCGTTTTCGTGTGGAAAAACTCCGTTTTTGTGTGGATGACAGGCCAAAACGTAGAAAAATATCTACGTTTTGGCAGATCCCCGGCTACGTGTGGACAGGGCCTTAATCCAGGAACTTGTAGATTATTCACTTTTGAGTTTGGTAAATAAAATAATTGTTTTTAAAATATAGCATGAGTGTGTTCCATCTGGGTGGTGCAATGGAACTCAGTAACAGACAGAGACTATTTAAATAAAACCTTTTCATTTCCCTCTGTGATTTTTATTTGTCATTCGTTCGTTCGTTCCTTCCTTCCTTCCTTCCTTCCCTCATTCATTCATTCATTCATTCATTCATCTCTTTAGCTCTGCTGGCTGTTTAAAGCAGTGCAGCCAAGTCCAGAGGTACCTGGCCTGATCTATACTTCCTGGAGAAGATGTCAGGGGCTGCAGCTTAATGAAGCATAAGCACACTCATCAATATTCAGCTGTTCAGCCACGTAAGAGAAGGATTGCTGTGGCTCTGTTGTCAGCAGTGAACGAGCTCTGTGTTAAACATATTTAGAATATTGATTGAGTGCAACAACATTGAGGCGCATTAAGCTCCAGTGATGTTTACTCTGCAGGGAGGCATCAGTGACTTTCCTGTGGAGGAATGTCTAAATCATCACATTCAGTTTCTATTAATTATTTTAAATAATTAGTCCCAGTGAGGAAAGTTAAAAAATCTCTAAACATTTTGAATTGAATGCCATTTATGGTGCTTTGTTAACGGATTATCTGTGGAGCACCACGGCACCAACGAGGACCGCCGTCCTGCGTCTTTTCTTTGGATCTCTGCTGTCAGAGCAGGATGAGTGGGTGGTGGCTCAAGCCTCATCTCTCATGTGATTCTAGAGCTAACAAATCACTCAAGCAGCTTTAGGCCCTTTACAGCAAAAATAAATAAGTGAGTGTATTTTTTTCCGCCAAGTTGGATCAGAAAGAAAACAATAATGTTGGTTTTCTTGCATCCAGGGAAAAGCCCCTATTTACTGTTCACCAACCGCCATGAGATCCGCCGTGTTGACCTGGTGAAGAGGGAGTACAGCCAGGTCGTGCCCACTCAGAAGAACACTGTGGCTCTGGACCTGGACGTGGCCAACAACCGGGTTTTCTGGTGTGACCGCTTTCACCGCAAAATCTACAGGTGAGCAGCAAACGGCCATTTTTCTGAAAACATTCATGGAACAAAGTGACGCCTATCTACCTCCGCACCACGGGTCCCCGGAAGAATGAAAAAACAAATGCAAGTCAACGGGGCTAAAAACGCTATTTTCCAATTCCGCTTGATTTGTGCCACCGATTTCACACATGATGTTCGTGAATTTTAAAGAAGCTTTTTGATACCAAGTACGTGGTTATTTTCTGGGGGGGGGGGGGGGGGGGGACGCTATTTTAGGTTTTGTGTGAAAATAAGTCCAGGACTACAAATGACTTCATGAAAGTGACGTCATCAAACCAGACACGGAGAAAAACTGAGGGCAAACGGCAGTCAGTTCAGCGAACTTCAAATCCTTCCTTCGGGAGGAAAGAACCACCATAAATCTGGTCATGTGGTAAGTAGCAGCTACACTAGGGGAGAGAAGATGGTGAGGTCACAAATGCGACGTGCCGATGCAGTCATGCTATTTACGAACTTTTACAAGCGGATAAATCTCAAAGTACATGACTGGTGTGGTCGAAACACACTTCAGTACTTTACACTGAAATGGCAGTACAACATATGCGATCCAGGGCGTGAGGCCAAGCGGATCAGAAAATAGCTCTTTTAGCCCCGTTGACTTGCATTCATTTTAATGATCCTCTGAGGACCCATGAGCCGACCAGAAAGGGAGGAGACGTAGGCTCCCTGTACTGACTACTGTTCATTCCCAGAGTGCGTTGTAACTGGAGCGCAGTGTCCTCTTCATAAAATAGGTGTTAAATGAAAGCCTGTGTGGAGAAAATAAAGCCAAAACTCTTGTTAGCGAGCACAGTTGCCATGCCTCCAACACTTGTGCAAGGGCTGATAATTCGTGGCCGGGGCAGCCCTGGGGCAAAGCCTTGTCAGCTCTGATAAGTGATCCATGTAAGGAGGACGCTAACCGCTGGATGACCCTGCTCAGTCCAAGGCTCAGGGCTATAACTCCCATCCTGCTGTTTCCTGATTGTGCAGCACAACGACCAGCGGAGGTCACCAACAGAATGTATTCACATCTGCTGTCATCATAAAGTATCCAGATTACCTTCATACTGCATGTTCATATCATGTCTTCTTCATTTATCAAATTAACCTGACTCAAATACGGTATTTGCTTCAAATAACAGTCCCCTCACATCCCTTACTGATGTCCTCATTGTCGTCCCCTCCCCGTCCCTGCCCTCATCCTCCCCTGCAGTGCCTTCATCCACGAGGCCAGCGACCCCTCCCAGCAGGTGCCTCTGGTGGATTCCTCTCTGCAGACACCCGTGGGTCTGGCTCTGGACTGGCTCCAGCACAACCTGTACTGGACCGACTCAGGAGACAAATCCATCTCTGTGTCCTCAGTGGATGGCACCAAGAGACGCATCCTCATCAACAGTGACCTGAGCGAGCCTCGAGCCATAGCTCTGGACCCCCACCATGGGTAAAGAGTTGCATGTGTCTTGTTTATATTTCCATTACTAACAATGATGGTGGTAACATGATTCATTGAAGGCCTGTCCCCTCCTAAAAAAGCCTCGTTTTAAAATAAAATCATCTTAAAAAGCTTGTATTAGATTACCTTGTGCTTAGAAACTGACTTAGAGCTATTTTTATATCTGTGTGAAAAGTTAAAGACTATCCACAGATTCTTAATGAGTCGCAGCGACGCCCTAACCCTGCTGACCCTAACCCTAACCCTCCACACCAGAGCCTGTATGGGTTTCTCAGACACAACCGCAGACCCAATCAGAACTGCACCAATCTAGTTGAGTTCTGCAGACCCATAACCGTTAAGCAGGAAATGATTATCAGTAACAACCATTCATGTGAAAACGACTGAGTCATCATTGCACAGCTGTTGTTTTACAAATGTTGCTCTGACTACAGAGTGAAACTAGTTTTAATTAGGTGGGGGGAAAATCTGTTCATTCTCAAACATATACTAATGTGCCACAAACAGGATGTTAATATCACCAACCATTCCCATTTTATTACGGTGTATTCATATTGTAAAGGCAGTTTAAGCAACTTTTTTGTTCAAAGTTTCACCACAAGATGGCACTGTGATTTTGTGAATGCCCCAGAAAGTTTATTTAACGTGTTTATTTAAAGTATAATTTTTTCGTGTTTTCAATACATTTTGTAGCATTTACAGGTGCACAGAATCAATAATTTTAGATATTTGAGTAATTTTGAATTAGTTTATTTTGATAAGGTGTCTTTAAGAGTGCTGTGACGTCACTTCCTGTCAGCTTCGGAGATTTTATTGATGTGAACGGACAAATTTGTGCCAATTAAGAACATTCGAGAAGAAGGTTAAGTGTTTTCAAGTCTACCGGCTTGTCTACTAGCAGGCCAAAGTGGTGTGTTTATTCTTTATCTATAAACTCTATATGTTAGCAAACTTAAGGCAACTAACTTGTTAATTTGTACATGATTTATGCTTTTTCATTAGTTCGACGGTGTTCATGTGGTGTAAAGATAAAGAAGATGCAAGACCGCGTTAAACATCAGTAAAAGGAACGCTCGTGTCTCTCGTGTATGTGAACAAGCCAGGTGTTACATATAAATAGCCCACCCTGTATTATTCACTTTGTTTTACATGCTTGGAAAAGCGTTACCATCATCACACCTAAGCGGGTCGTTCCTTAAAAACCAGTTTATGTTTGACTGACGTCACAAAAAGGCAAATGAACCTCATTGTGCATCATAATTAACTTTATTCATATTACAGACATGAGCCAAAGACGGAAGGACTTCCTGAGTCTGAAACGTTGGTGAAGTATGGCGCGGTATGGGGGCCAAAATTAAGACTACTGCCCAGCAGCAGGAGGCTATATAAATTCTGAAGCAAACTACTGATCTGATTAATGATACGCTGGCACCGGTAACTGAGAGGCTGGCACTGTGAGGAATAGCACCTTTACCGGCGTTATTACTAGATACGCTAGGGACTAGCAGCCCTCGGCTGGTCATTGACTGGTTCAAACACTCCCTTTGCTGCCTATTAGCATGGATAGGCTAGCGTTAGCCTGGACGGGCTGGTGTTAGCATTGGAGAGGCTAGCCATTAGCGTGCCTAGGCTGGCCACTAGCTGACTAGTGACTCTATGAGACACGCTAATGGCTAGCCTCTCCAATGCTAACACCAGCCCGTCCAGGCTAACGCTAGCCTATCCATGCTAATAGACAGCAAAGGGAGTGTTTGAACCAGTCAATGACCGGCCGAGGGCTGCTAGTCCCTAGCGTATCCAGTAATAACGCCGGTAAAGGTGCTATTCCTCAGTAAGCAGTGCCAGCCCCTCAGTTACCGGCGCCAGCTTATCATTAATCAGATCAGTAGTTTGCTTCGGAATTTTTATAGCCTCCTGGTGCTGGGCAGTAGTCTTAATTTTGGCCCCCATACCGCGCCATAGAAGAAGATGAGGCGAGTTTATATCTGCGTGGTTCCAGCCATTAGAACCATTTAGAACTTGAACTGGTAAAAGAGCAAGTCACTCCCAAATCAACCCTTTTTTTGCTGATAAACTACGTAAATGAGTGTCTTAATTGTTCTGTAGACACGTGTAGTCAGTTATGCACTTTAGTGCATCTTCGTCAAAATTGAAATATTCTACCTAAAACTAAGTCATGCGCCCTCTTCAGGCAACAACTCAGCACTATATGTGAATTTTAATCTGCCATTGCTATTGGCTAAGAGGTACACTATGACGTTAGCTGGCACCTTGTGAGCATGTGTGTGTGTGTGTGGTTGTAAGCGGCTCTGCCCTCCCGGTCTGCTAGGCAACGCCTGCTTGTGGCACATTTTCCAAACAGGAAATGGGGGTGGAGTTAGACTCTGGTAGGGGCTTGATTGTATGCTCCTACTACAGCTGCACATTAGTGACACCAGTGGAATCTAAGGGGCTCTCAGGCTCAGCGTCATGCGGAGCGATCAGAAATAGAGGCACCAACCATCAGGCTTTTCAGTTTTTTTTTTCAATGTTTTGATATTCCATCTGTCGGTGTTCTCAAACACCCCACCTAGAAAACGACAGATCAAACGGGTCGTGTAAAAGGTTCAGTAGTTCTAGGAGGTGCAGCTTTTAACAGCAGGAGACGAGGAGACTACTGTCAGGTAGGACTGGGTCAAACTTTCCCTCTTGGTGCTGAAGGGACAGCTCCTATGCTGTAGGTGGTTCGCCCACCTCAACAAGAGGCTTTACATTTGGGTCACATGGGTACTGTAACTGATTTGACTGTAAATTTTCTTATTTATGTCTGGGATTGGTTGCATTTGAAGCTTTTTTTTATTCACACTGGATCACCAGTGAGTCTTCTGAGCCCCAGAAGAAGAAAGCCCTCTAACCTGCAAGGGAATTCAGAAATGTAGCAAACATTTTAAGAGAACCTCCCTTTAAAACTCTGCTTTCGTCACTTTCCGCTGCAGCAGTGAGATGCTGTCTCCGTGTCCTCCATTCTGTCAGCACTTTTGTGGTTTTAAGGCACAATTGAGCAGCAGTGTTGCAAAAGTTATTTTGTAACCTTCATAAAATAAGTGACGTTACTTAGCATGAGGATCGCTGTAAAGACTCTGACACTAGTCAGTGACTCGATGCAACCTGCTGGGTTCTTTATGTGGGACCGGCTTAATGAACTGACCTGTACTGGAATGTTTACTGTGTGAAGCGCTTTGAGAAGACTCTTGTCGTGACTGTGTGCTATATGAATAAACTGAATTGAATTGAATCTGGTGGGGTTTATTATTACATTGTGAGGCCCACTCCTAAAGGGGCTAACTGTTGTGAACTAACCCTGTTCTGTTTATCCCAGTTTTATGTACTGGTCAGACTGGGGAACACGAGCCAAAATAGAGAAGGCTGGAATGAACGGAGTGGACCGTCAGGTGCTGGTGGCCGATGATATCGAGTGGCCCAACGGCATCACTCTGGGTGAGACAACAACAGCTTTTTGAATGATTTCTTTATTTGACACAACTTTATATTTGATGCTGTGATAGACGATTGCTGCTCTGGGAGGATTTCTGAAGCTCTTGTGTGATGGTGACTATTTGTGAAGGAAACCTGCATCACCTATAAACAGTTGTTGGTCAACTACTCAAGACGAAGAAAATAAATTTCCTTTTAGGGCAGGGAAAAGATCCGTGTGTGTGTGTGTGTGTGTGTGTGTTAATTTAGGTGTCTGTGTGTTCCCCAGATGTAGTCAACCGGCGTCTCTACTGGGTGGATTCTAAACTGCACCTGATCGCCAGCGTGGACCTGAACGGAGCTCATCGCAGAACACACATGTCCTCAGCAGAAAGGCTGGGACACCCCTATGCGCTGGCTGTGTTTGAGGTAGGTGTGTGTGTGTGTGTTCACAGATTAATCCTAGTCCCTCATGTTGGAACACTTAGCAGTGGATCTCAGAGATTAGGTAGTTATCCTCGATATCATCCAGCCTCCCACATGTTATCTTAACTCCATCTTTCTACGGAAGCCTCACAGGAGCCGGCTGTTGGGAAGTCTCAGTATCATCAGTGATGAATTCAGTTCATTGCATGCTCAGCTGGGTGTCCTTATATCTGTTCTGTTTGTTGTTCCTTGTGGGGTTTACTAACGTAGCATACCAAACAGCTGCATGGAGTAGAGAGGAATGTAAAGCAGCATGCTCACTGCTGCTGCTGGTCTTCATCCAGTTCTCTAGTCTACCTCCAGAACCCGACAGAACTTCTGTCTGAACATCTCTGCGTCTGTGTTGCAGCATTCTCCTGCTCAGCTTCACTCTGTCACTTAAACCAGGACACATCCTCAGCATTTAGTTAATAGTAGATTCCTCTTGAGTTAGTAAGAGTATGTTTATTACAAAGTCATTAGCTTCATCATTCATCAAGAAGCACATGGATGACGCCAGCTGCTCTGTGACAGGATGCAGCAATAATCAATGGCAGGGATCTTTCTGTCAGGATGCTATAATACTAGTGATGGAAATTCCGGCTCTTTTTAGAGAGCCGGTTCTTTCGTCTCCCAAGTGGCTCCTCAGATTTTCTGTTGCATAGAGTACATTTATAACCAAAATAATGCAAAACTATATTTAAAATAATTTACTAATGTAAAAAAATGCAATATATCAAATATTTATCATTTCTATGGATTTAGAAAAGCAGCAACGAGCCGGCTCCCGTCGTTCACTTCAAAGAGCCGCCTCTTAGAGCGGTTCGTTCGCGACCGACACATCACTATATAATACTGTAGGGCTAACATGTTAGCAACTGAGACATTATTACAACTACATCCTATAATCAGAAGTCCGTTAGTTTCAAACTCGCCTTTTGCATTTGGCTTGCTGCTGGTTTAAAAAGTCAATCTGACTTTAATTTCTATAATCCAGATTAGTTATCTCACCATTCAGATGTAATTCTGTGCTTCTACTTTTGCTGTTTTGTTCCACAAAAAGAACCAGAGAATTGCATTAAAACACGTGGTGTACTTCTCCTGTTCATCACTGGAAACACGCCAAACCGTGGAGCCCTGATCGCTGTCAAAAAGCTGTGATGTGGAGAAGCGGCAGTCTGCAGAGCAGAACTGATAACACACAGTAAACAAAGATTGTTGACCAGATTATCACATTTTCATGCAGCGTTTTTTATTACTGAGGCTTATGCGTTAGACTCTTAATTAAATAATGTTTGCATCTCAGGCACCAGTTATGTTCCCAGCATCATACGTGTAGTGATACTGCACGTATGATGCTGGTGCAGCAGGGCTGCTACTTGTTTCTGATCCTGTTTGTGGTCTTCAATTCAATTCAATTCAAAAATACTTTATTAATCCCAGAGGGAAACTGATTGCTGTAGTAGCTCAGAATAATAATAATAATCAAGTCATCAAAGAGTTGTTGTATATTACAATGGCTGTTGGCAGGAAGGATCTCCAGTAGCGGTCAGTGTTGCAGCCAAACTGAAGAAGCCTCTGACTGAAGACACTCTTCCGTTGTCGGACAGTCTTGTGAAGAGAACGCTCAGGGTCGTCCATCATTTTCTTGATTCTCTGGAGAATCCTTCTTTGCATCATCTCCTCCAGCGGTTCCACAGTCGTCCCCAGAACAGAACCAGCCTTTTTTATTAGGCTGTTGAGCCTTTTCAGGTCCCTGCTTCTGATGCTGCTACCCCAACAGACGATGGCTGAAGAGATTACAGTCTCAACAACAGACTTGTAGAAGATCTGCAGCATCTTGCTACAGACATTGAAGGACCTAAGCGTCCTCAAGAAGTGCAGTCTGCTGTGTCCCTTCTTGTAAACGGCTTCGCTGTTCTTTCTCCAGTCCAGTCTGTTGTCCAGGTGAACTCAGAGGTATTTGTATTCCTCAACCACCTCCACTTCTTCTCCCATGATGGAAACAGTGTTTGACTCCACCCTGTTTCTTCTGAAATCTAAAATCATCTCCTTTGTTTTGTTCACGTTCAAGGTCAGATGATTGTTTCCACACCATGCCACAAAGCGCTCCACCAGCTCTCTGTACTCAGCTTCCTGTCCATCTCTGATACACCCGACAACTGCAGAGTCATCTGAGTATTTCTGTAGATGACAGGTCTCTGACTTGTACTGGAAGTCTGAGGTGTACAGGGTGAAAAGGAATGGTGAGAGTACAGTCCCCTGTGGTGCTCCAATGTTACTGATCGCCTGGTTTGATGTGCAGTTCTTCAGCCTCACAAACTGTGGTCTGTTTGTCATGTAGTCTTTAATCCAGGCGATAGTTGAGGCCCCCACCTGTGTCTTCTGGAGTTTCTGGCAAAGTACATCAGGCTGGATTGTGTTAAATGCACTGGAGACATCAAAGAACATGACCCTCACAGTGCTGCCTGCTTTGTCCAGATGACAGTGGATTGGTTGAAGCAGCTGGATGATGGCATCTTCAACTCCAACTCCATGGCGATAAGCAAACTGCAGCAGGTCCTGATATGTTCTAGTTTGCTGATTCAGGTGGACCAACAGGAGTCTCTCCAGGACCTTCATGATGTGGGATGTCAGGGCAACCGGTCTGTAGTCGTCGTTGACTGATGGGCGAGTTTTCTTTGGAACTGGAACAAGGCAGGATGTCTTCCTGAACAGAATCTAGAGATGCTGAGGAGGAGGCCTGGTGAGGGAATCTGAAGGTCCTAGCTCTGCTTCTTATAGATGATGTGGTTTAGTTGTGATCTTCTAGCCATGCCGTTTGTTGTTTACTGAGACTGCTATTTACCATGACAGTCAGGCCTTCCAAATGTGAGTTCATGGTTCTCAACTGGGAAAAGCTGGAATCCTCCAGCTTGGATGTGAAGTCAAGTATCGTTCCACAAACAATGGTTGGATGGAGTGGGAGATTTTTTTTTCAACAATGAGGGGCTCCCACTTGTCCACGGGGACACACCCGGTGGGGTATATTTTGGATTTGTGGAAGGAGTGGAATATTATATGCCTCTCTCAGCTGTTCGTGGAGGACATTGAAGACGTGTGGATTTTTGGGCTGATGATTACTGGCTGACTTCAGCTTCGCGGACAAGCACCATCTTACATTGGTGATCTTCTTAGTCCCTACACCCCAGCAGGTCCCTGAGGTCCAGTGATCAAAGCCTACTGGTTGTGCAGCACCAGGCTAAAGGTCAAAGGTGACAGATCATCTGCTGCTGTGGCCCCCAGACTCTGGACCTCTCTCCCCCTGAGCCTGAGATCAGTGGACTCAGTGGTCTCCTTTAAAAAGCAGCTGAAGACTCACTTGTTCAAGCTGGCTTTTGTGACCTTCTTCACCTCTCTCTCTTTATTCTGCTCTCCCCACCTATTCCACCTTCCTCAGGATCCACTGATTTCCCTCTTTCCTGTTCACTCTCTCTCTTTCTTAACAATTTTTATCACAATTGTCTATTTTTGCTCATTTTAAATATATTTTCAATCATTTTCTAAATTCTTTTTTATTTTTTCTAAATTTTTTGTTTTTGTGAAGCGCCTCATGATTTTTATCTCGAGAGGCGCTATAGAAAAGATCTTTTCTTCTTCTTTGTCTTCTTCTACAATACAATACAATATATATGTGTATGTCTTGCGTTCCAGGATCGGATCTACTGGACGGACCGAGACAAGGCAGCAGTTTTTATGGCGAACCGACTAACTGGTCAGGATGTCCAAGCTCTCGCTGAAAACCTCAACGACCCCCATGACATTGTGGTCTTCCACCAGCTTCGGCAGCCTCAAGGTGTGTTCATTTCCACTTTATTCCTCCTAACTTACCAAACTCAGTGGCCACCTTCCTCCTTCCTCTTCTGGAACATCCACACCATCATCCTATCATATAACAAAGACAGGATAAATCCACCCACAAAACTCCCAGACTGCCTTTAATTTTGGCACGGCCAGTCTGATCTGGTTGCCCACTCACTCTGCCCCATGTCCAACCAGAGCTTTAATCGCTCGTGTCCCCATGCTAGCACGGTTCTGAACAACCACGTATTTGGTAGCAGGGCTGCATAAAAACACAATTATTTAAAGGAATGTTTTACGCATATCCAGATTCTATTATATTATACTCAGAATAAGTTTTGACAAATTAAAAGAATGTTTAGCTGTGCTGATGAGAGTAAAAGATGTTAACTTTGTGTCTCTTTAAATCCGACCTACCGTTCTGTGTGTTTGAGCCACTCCTCCTGGTTTTATTTGGTTTCTGTCTTCAGGCCCTGACAGCTGCAACCTGGGCAGCGTGGCCAACGGAGGCTGTGAGTACTTGTGTCTGAAGGCTCCACAGATCACCGAACACTCACCCAAGTACACCTGCGCCTGCCCTGATGGACAGGACCTGGGCCCTGATATGAGAGCTTGTGCTCCAGGTGAGAGGTTTATGAGAGAACAGGTGTGTAACAGATTCTGGTCCAGACCCAGTCCACACATTTTATTGTGAATTCTTTGGAGCATCTTTAGCAAATAAGAATGTTTTATTACCATTTAGATTTAGCTTGTTTTGTAAAATTGAACAAGATTTTTTGGCAAGCAAGAAGGTCTGTGGTTTGAATCCCAGCTGTAGCCTTTCTACATGGAGTTAGCATGTTAAATGATAAATGACGCCTCTCAGAGTGAGGACTCCAAAGTGCTTTACACTACAGTGTATCATTCATCCATTCACACACTGGTGGTGATGAGCTACGATGTAGCTACAGCTGCCCTGGGGCGCACTGTGAGAGGCGAGGCTGCTGAGCACAGGCGCCACCGGTCCCTCCGACCACCACCAGCAGGCAAGATGGGTTAAGTGTCTTGCCCAAGGACACAACAGCAGAATTCTCTGTCCGGAGCCGGGATCGAACCTGCAACCTTCCGATGACTGGACAATCCGCTCAACCTGTTGAGCCACTGCTGCCCATGTTAGTCCCATGCAAGCATGGGTTTCCTCCCACAGACCTAAAGCATGCATGTCAGGTTAACTGGAGACTGCTGTCCCTAGGTGTGACTGGTTGTCTCTGTGATAAACTGGAAACCTGTCCAGGGTGTCCCCTACCACTCTCCTGCTGCTGCTGGAGAAAGACAGCCACACCCACAGACCCCAGTGAGGGAGAAGCGGTTGTAGGCTATGGATCTATGTCCTGGAGGACTGAACCTCTGATCTTTAGTGTCCTGTGTATGGTGTTTACTGACCCAACTCTTCCTCAGCATAAAGATACACTTTACTCTTACTGAAAATGTTCTTTACTGTCTTTCAGCAGCACCAAGAGATGACACAATGGCAGTGTCCCCTCCTCCCTCTGCCTTTACTGTTGACACCAGACCAACTCCTGAAGACGTCTCTTCATCCTTAAAAGGTGTATCTCAGGCAGACGCTGTCCTCCGTCTGTCCACGGCTTCCTCTGCCTCTCCAGAGTCTCTGACGGCCCTGAGCACGCTGCAGCCTCTGTCATCGCAGGAGTCCAAAGCTCTGGGCTCCCACTCCAGCGCCACCGCTATGGTCATGCCCACCACACCAGCAGGGGACAGCAGCGTCTCACAGCACTGTGAGTGGAGCTGAAAACAACCTTCAGTCAGTCAGATGTGGACGTAAATCGGTTTTAATAACTGATACAGTGTGTGATATGCGTTTTCTGCCTCGTGTATTTCCCAAGGGGCAGCCATTGTCTGAACATTCTGAAGCCAACAACATCATAGGGGCTGGCACCGGAAACGATCAAATTCTCATTGACTCCCATGTTATAAAGGCCAACTTCACAGCAGAAATAATGTTTACAGCCTGGTTCTAAACACCATTTTCAGCTTAATAGATCTAGTTTACAGTCATGGCAACTCTGAGGTTGTCATGGGGTGACTTTTATTGTAACTCATCCGTTCAAGTGCAATTAAATGCCTGAAATTATGAATAATTAGATTTGATCGATATGTAGCCATCAGCATCACTAGCACTCAGAGGTGGAAAGAGTTCTAAAATTTCCTACTTAAGTACGAGCACCAATACTTTGATAATTTTTCTCAAGTACAAGTAAAAGTACTTGCCTAAATTTTTATTCAAATAAAAGTAAAAAGTATCGTAAATAAAATGTACTCTAAGTAAAAGTTACTTAGTTACATTTTTGTCAGCTTAAGGATGGCTACATCTAAGTAGTGCTAAATCACAACGGCAGTTCACGCGCGCACACACACAAACACACACACACACACACACACACACACACACACACACACACACACACACACACACAAGGCCGGATTAACCATATGGGCAACTGGGCTATTGCCCAGGGCCCACGAACTCTAAAGGGCCCAGGGCAGCAAGGGCACGAGCAACGTACTGTATCTGTAATCTCCCGCTTTATGAGGACTAGGGTGACCATACGTCCACTTTTCACTCTCTGTCCGGGGCGTCCGGACTGGGGGTTCTTGTATTGATGAAAATGTCCGGCTTTTCATCCTGGAGCAGGGATCGGATTATGGGGGAGCTGTATATCCTACACATCCAGGGGAGCCGAAAAAAAGTTTTCTACCTATATGACATCATTTATGGACTCGTTTAAGCAGAGAGCACAGAGAGCGGCACAGCACGTTGTAGAGCGGCGCTCCAGGCTGCTGCGTCCAGCGCACGGTCCATTCTCAAAGTGGCGCAACCAAAAAACTATAATTAGCACACGATCGTTCATGTCCGCACATGTTCTCTATTTTCTGTCTTATTTGTGCCTGAAGCGCTCTGCTACTGCGGAGCTCATCACCTGTGCTGCGGTGATTTCACCTCACTGACGCAGCATCGAAACGCGCTCTCCGCGTTGTGGTCAGGAGATCCCTTTGGTCTGCTGAAAAGTAACTGATGAGGTGAAAAAGTAAGAATCCAGGCAGCAGATTTTCTGGAGAATTAAGAGGATATGCAGGAAGATGAGAGACAGACAGGACAGGAAAATAGTTTATTTAAAACAAGAACCCCCCCCCCCAACCCCCATAACTGGGCTCCCCAGAAGCCTCTGTGTAATCCATGCCCTCTCCAGTAGTGTTAGTTATACGGTGTTTATAAAAGCTCCTCAGACATCACTGACATGTTCTAATATTATCAGATGAAAAACTAAATTATCAGACATGCTGTCTCATCTGCTGCTTTTCTAAACTTGCAAAAAGTAACAAAATCATTTGAAAGCCACTATTTGTGGATTATCTGAAAGTTTCAACTTTTTTTTCATTGATCCTATCGTCTAATCTCACAGCTGAAACAAGCATCCTTGATAATCTGTGCACAGGAAGCTTACCGATGCTGTAGGAAAACAAAAGGTATAATAATTTATTATTAATACAATCTTGTTGCAGCACTAAAGCAGAAAAATTAGATTTTGCAATAAATATGCAAAATATTTACATATGAACTGTTTTAGAGCCCTTTTATTGGCAGAATCTGATATTAATTTAGTTCTTACAAAAAATGGGTCCCAGCGTGGTTTGTGTGGCGTTGCCATGGCGTGACGTCATGGGAACAGATCCCCTGTCCTCTTGTTTAGAAATGAAAACATGGTCACCCTATATTAAACAAACTGTCCACCCGGGCTTTTGCGCTGCACAGAGACGCTTCGCTGCCTATGACTTTGAACGTCAGTTGAGAGCGGTTGAGAGTCAGACTGACCAATGAAGAGAGGGCCTCAAGTTAAGACCCTCTCCTCATTGGTCAGTCCACACAGGGTGGGTCAAAGGTTACCCTGAGCGGGTTACGTGATGTCAGGCATTCAAGAATTGAGTATATTTACTGCATATTACAGTAAAATATTCTGTATGTGACCATATTATGGTGATCCTTGGGTCGTGATGATGGGGCCCTTTAACATTGTTGCCCAGGGTACAACAAAGTGTTAATCTGGCCCTACACACACACACACACACACACACACACACACACACACACACACACACACACACACACACACACACACACGTCATGACTAATTTAACTACACTGAACTGCTTTAGTAATAATCTAATCTCTTATTCTGGAGTAAAATAAAGAAACAAGCTAAATCATCACATGTGTGGCATCAAGAAGCATCTTCTGAGTTCAAACACAGGGATGGAGCACAATGTTTACACCTGAACAGTATCAGGATATTCCGCTTGTTATGAGCGCTAAACGTTATTCTGCCGCTTCCGTGCGGAGCGGTAGAGAAACACAATTCAAACACGGAACCGAGTCCGGCTACCGAACCCAGCAGAATTGTGATGACGTCACACCGGTGCGCGAAGGTGCGGGATACACAGGAGAGGAGGTAAACAGCGAGTTGAGGGACTGAACTGATGTTTTAGAGCAGAAGTGTACACCCACACCCCCCACGGTTTAGACGTGGCGCTCATGCAGGTGTCTCTTCCTGTTCCGACGCTGCTACACGTAATATTTTTTATTTATTAAGCTTACAATTTATTTTTACTCAGTAACGGATATTATTTAAAATGTAGCAAATTACAAATCTTTTTTAAAAACTTACTCAAGTAAAAGTAAAGTACAGATTTTGACAACGACTTAAAAAGTATAAATATACAAAAAATCTACTCAATTACAGTAACGTGAGTAAATGTAATTCGTTACTTTCCACCTCTGCTAGCACTACACTTTATAAGCGCCTCGTGATTTTTATCTTGAGAGGCGCTATAGAAATTATATTTTCTTCTTCTTTTTCTTCTTCTTAGCTCTGTGGAAAGGCCTCAGCCTCACGTTAAAAGATGTTCGGCCATTTCGACTCTCTGAACTTTAGGTGTTTCCTCTGTGTTTCGGTGTTTGGACGTTAATCACGAGATTATTTGGACAAAACAAGCTGTGGGATTGACTACAGTAAAAGATCTCCCAAAAAGCTTCATTTTGGCTGGGTAGATCTGTGGATCTGCCCTTCCAGCCTCCCGGAGGCAGCCGAGTGAGGCAGGTGTCTGGCGTCACCCGTCTATCGGCCGGGAACAGCTGCCGGACACAGGCATCCCGGCTGCCTGTGGAGCTCTCTGAAGGGAAACACAGGAACACGGCAGCTCTTTCAGTGCTTCACTTTTAAGTTGCTCAATCTCATTTTTCTGGCTAAAGTTCTCCATTAGCTTCCAGTCATTTTCGGGTTTGCTCAGGCGGTCTGTAGCTACCCCCACTGGCTCCATGTAGCTTCGGGTTAGCTCAGTTAGCTCATTGCTACATTGATTCAGAGTTCATGGGTGTCAATCATTTGCTCCCACCCTCACAGCCTCGCCATCAGCGCCGCTTCTTTTCCCGTTTTTTGATTGTCTAGGCATGACGAGGCGTGTGACACGGCCAAGATGGCAGCGATCGGAACCGCCCGTTTGGCTTCGAATAAGCCACGCAGAAAGCTATGGGTGGGGTTTGTCCATCCATAAGAGCTTTCCTCTTGCTGTAGGGAAGCAACCCGCTGACGTTTTTTCACTTTGTGTGTATGGAAGCGGGTTCTGCGTGTGCTGCTGCAGCAGCATCACTCCTGCGAGCATTTACGCGTAATTCAAACGAGCTGAAACGTGATTCTGGAGCCAAATGAAGCTTGACTGTATGTGAAGTGCAGAAGGTCAAAGTTACAGTGAAGCACGCCCTCCATCCTTCACTTCCCTTCTTCATAATCAGTCTCGTTCTCCATCACTGTCGCTCTTTGTAAAACTCACGGCTGTGCTTACAATCCTCGTATTTTTCACACATCGTACGTCCCACACGCTTTCCTTCCCCTCCTGATTACTTTTAACACCTCATCTCTCTTTTCAGCTGGGGGCGAGCATTTCCTCCTGGGTGAGAACTTGACCGTGGCTGTGCTTGGGGTGGTCATTCCTATCGGTAAGGTGCCCACAGCATCCTGTTTGTCTTTTCACAATAAAAGTCTGCACATGGTTTTTGTCCACCTACAGAATGTGTCCATCCACACCGATAGTGCTGTGGACAGTCCACTGGTCCATATCAATGTCTCCATCATTCACCCTCACACCACTTGTCTCTATTAGCTTTAGCTTTCTTTCTGTGCATGATTGTGCACGCTGGGTCACTGAGCCCTCCAGAACTGTCATCAGGGTATCCGCGGGTCCTTAAAAAGTCTTAAATTTGCTTTTCCAAATTTAAGGCCTTAAAAATCCTTAAAAATGACAAATAATCCTAAATACAGTTTCCAAAGGTCTTAAATTACCAAAGACCCAATAAACAAGATTCTTTTATTTTTGTCAAATTTTCGTTAATTACTAGTTGGTGTTCAGCATTTTTTGTGTGTACGATGTTGGCGTAAGCAGAACCGTACACGTTCAGTTGGTTGTGAAAGGGGGCTATTTTTAGATGAGCACATTAGCTGGTTAAGCTAGTGGGAGCTTGCGCCATGGGGAAGTGCAAGTTTAATGGTAACTGGATGGCTAATCCCACGTTCGCGACGTGGTTAGCACCGGTTCCTGGCAATAGCTGGAAATTATGGTTTAAATTTAATTTTAAAAATAGCTTAAATTTGGTCAAAGTGGCCTTAAAAAAGGTCTTAAAAAGTCTTAAATCTGGCTCCCTTAAACCTGCAGATACCCTGTGTCATGTGTTTGTAACAAAGCAGTTCAAACATCAACAAACACGAGAAAACAAATCGTACAGAAGTACTTGAAAGCTGTGTGGTGAGGGAACCATCTGCAGCTCCACTTTAGATCCAAAAATAGCTGCAAGTAAATATGTTGAGCTGCTTATGAAGAATAAGCTATTTCCAGTAAATGTAGTTGGTTTTAATTTGATGGTTTTAGTGTTTTTATTGTTATGGAAAGACTAAAAAAGTGTTATTTTCTTTAGTAAAGAGCTAAACTTTTCAGTGATCTAATGGGCCATTCCCATCTGTACCGGGTCGGCTCGGGCCGGGTAGCGTAGGTTGTTTACATATCTGGGTGGCCTGGTATTTTTCCGGGCCAACCAAGGCTCATTCTCAGCCCTCTTCTCGAGGGGGTCTGCTTCAGGCCGACCAGGGCCAACACGCCCACTGCTGACAGCAAATTCACACCTTCCATTAGAGCAAGCCTCTGATTGGTGGGTAGAATCAGCCCACATGGGCTTACGACAAGGATGTGTGGAATCAACCGGGCCAGGCTGGGGCCGACTGGGGCTACCCGGCCCGGGCCGACCCGGTACAGATGGGAATGGCCCATTAGTTTGTTCATCACAGCCGCTGTAGGACTTGAACAGAGCTAACGTTTCATTAGCTTTGATGGAAGTTTCTGGCTCCTAAAACCTCAGATGCTGAAAAACAAACACCGTTTTCATGTTAATATTATTTTACTCTCCGGCTTTCAAGCATTCGGTCACGAGGTAAATTCTGTAACAGCTTAAGTTTTTTAAGTTTTCCGACTATTGAAGCCTTGGTGGGCTTTTTCGGACTTAAGGACATTTTACACGCAGTAAAGATGAGTTTGTTTTTCTGTTTTAAAAGTACAGTAAGAATTTACGGTGAAGTGATCGCGGACCATTCTAATGTCTCAATCATGTCGGAAGGAAGGTTCCAGTTAAACAGGTTTCCTTTTCAGCTAGCTGGGGGATTTCAGTTTTTCTCTTTTCAAAATCAGAGGGATGTAGTCTAATGGCGCTTACACATTAGCGTCGGCGCAGGCCCATATGCTACCAGATGGCACGGGAATTTGTTTTCACACACAGGTCAGATTTGCGTTTTCGGTGTCCCGGCGACTCTTTTGCCTCAGACCTTCTCCCCTGCGGTCAGACTGGGACCGAGGCGACACTACGGACTGATTGGCCAGTTGAAATTACGCCTACCGCCTCCGATCTGCGAGAAGAATGAGCCAGCGGGGGTTTCCCGCATGTGCGGTTCATTTTCATGCTGGAAGCTGTTGAGTAAACTTCTGTCTGTAGCACGGAGCTGCTGCTCGGTGTGAGAACGGGAGACAAGAACAGCTCTGTGTGTGTGTGTGTGTGTGTGCGTGTGTGTGTGTGTGTGTGCGTGCGTGTGTGCGTGCGTGCGTGTGTGTGTGTGTGTGTAGTACAAGATTACGAGGACACTCACAGTAAATTAATAAAATAACGTGGTTCAGTCTCCAAAAGCAGCACAGCTCGTGTCCGCCTTTTGTTCACCTTATGGAGCGGACTTTCCCGCACGTATTAAACGTCGCCTACAGGCTCGGGGATTTGTGCATTCCTGAGAAGTCCCTCGGATTTAAATGTGAGCACTACACCACCAGCTCGAAACCGAACTCACGCCGTCTAGCCTGGCTAAACCCCGACCGTGCCGACGCTAACGTGTAAGCGCCATTTGTTTACCTGCTCTGAGCCCGCGGGGCTGAGTCAGCGATGCAGCACCGGCATTTGTAAATTGATACCAACAGGCTAAACTTGGTGGCAATTTTTAAAGTTCCTAATCCAGAAATGGGAATGACCCAGAAGTTGATTCTAAATAAAGCTAGAGGCTAATGTTGAGCTAACAATGCTAACGGTGATTAAGAGAAAATATTGGGCCCTAAAGTTTCTCAAGATACTTTTTCAATTCCCAACAACTTGATGTTACAGTAAAATGTACTTATAAACTTTCTGTGTGTGGCTCGTCGCACTCGTGATCTAGAATCTTCTGGCGCTGATCCGTGAGCGAGAGAGGGCCGTGACACTCACAGAACAGGAGAGATGCTCGCTTGTTCTGAAAATGGGCTGTGCACCTTTAACTTTGATTGTAAGAGTTAATGATGGTGCTCCAGGCACAAGTCGAGATGTTCCGATGATATTTTTTTTTTACCTCACAAACCTTCAGGGTTTTTGTGGATGATCACAATGCACGGAGACAATTAATCTACACAGTTAGTTTGGCTTTTGCTGTAAACAGATTTGACATGACCAGGACTCATGTCTCACTCCAGCTGGAAACAGGGTCTGCAGAAGCTCTATAGAGCTCCGGACGTCACGTGACTCTCAGAGAGTAGACGCCATGTTGGCAGGCAACAAAGGTAAACAAAATGAACGGGATCGGCTTGGGTTTTACTTCGTCTGAGTTTACTTCATGCTTTAAAACTGAAGGAATCGTTTTATATAGTCAGAAATTAAATAGACTAAACATCTCCGACCCTTACCGTGCCCCTGGGATACTTTTTAAAAACGCCAGAAGCTGTCGGAGCGGACTTCTTACTGGACCTGGCTGGGGAACGCCTTGGGATTCCCCCGGAGGAGCTGGCTCCGGCGGCTGGGGAGAGGGAAGTCTGGGCCTCTCGACGCTACTGCTCCCGCAACCCGACTCCAGATAAGCGAATGAAAATGGATGGATGGACAAATAACAGATTTACATGTAAGAAGTTTAAATAGAGTGCTGTGCTGTTTGAATGTATAAACTGAACTGATTTTTTTCCGTGAATAAAATAAATATGTCAGGCAGGAGCATCTCAGGATCTGTCTGAGATCTGTCTCGGTGAGACAGATAATAGCAATCCAAAGTGCTTTTATGTGTGATCTGACAATTGATCAACCATTGCTTAAAAATGAAATACAGCTTAGCCGGTTAATTGCTGTGATCATAAAACACGTAAACGGCAGCACGCAGAAACACGAGGCAACGTTTTACGTGATGTTTACTTGTTACTATGAGTAATAAGACAGAAAACGCCCCGCCAAAATAAGTTTAGGAAGCCCACTAAGAATCGTAATAAAAGCATTTAAAATAAATACCATACACAGTTGAGGAAACGTTGGTTTAAGTACCTGATATGAAGCGGTCGCTGCATAAGCGAAAACCTTTACTCTCGGGCTTCCACAGTTTCATTTCAGCCCGGTCACTAGTGCGTTTTATTACAATGATCCAACGTTTGCGGCGCTCCGGATCTTGGGGAATCCTGTAGATGGCTCATTCCTTATGTTGTCCGCGTCTGTTCTGCATCCTGGGGCACAACAGGAAGCTACCATATTTCCCGTTTGATTGAGTTTTCTGACAATAACAAATACAGGTGCTGGCCAGTAAATTAGAATATCATCAAAAGGTTGAAAATATTTCAGTAATTCCATTCAAAACGTGAAACTTGTACATTATATTCATGCAATGCACACAGACCAATGTATTTCCAATGTTCATTACATTTAAATTTGATATTCATAAGTGACAACTAATGAAAACTCCAAATTTGGTATCTCAAAAAATTAGAATATTCTGAAAAGGCTGAATATAGAAGACACCTGCTGCCACTCTAATCAGCTGATTTACTCAAAACACCTGCAAAGGCCTTTAAAAGGTCCCTCAGTCTTGTTTTGAAGGCACCACAATCATGGGGAAGACTTCTGACTTAACAGCTGTCCAAAAGACAATCATTGACACCTTGCACAAGGAGGGCAAGACACAAAAGGTGATTGCTAAAGAAGCTGGCTGTTCGCAGAGCTCTGTGTCCAAGCACATTAGCAGACAGGCGAAGGGACAGAAAAAATGTGGTAGAAAAAAGTGTACAAGCTCTAGGGATAACCGCACCCTGCAGAGAATTGTGACGACAAACCCATTCAAAAATGTGGGGGAGATCCACAAAGAGTGGACTGCAGCTGGAGTCAGTGCTTCAAGAACCACCACGAGGAGACTCATGAAAGACATGGGATTCAGGTGTCACATTCCGTGTGTCAAGCCACTCTTGAACAAGAAACAGCGCAAGAAGCGTCTCGCCTGGGCCAAGGACAAAAAGGACTGGACTGATGCTGAGTGGTCCAAAGTTATGTTTTCTGATGAAAGCAAGTTCTGCATTTCCTTTGGAAATCAAGGACCCAGAGTCTGGAGGAAGAGCGGAGAAGCACAGAATCCACGTTGCATGAGGTCCAGTGTAAAGTTTCCACCGTCAGTGATGGTGTGGGGTGCCATGTCATCTGCCGGTGTTGGCCCACTCTGTTTCCTGAGGTCCAGGGTCAATGCAGCCGTCTACCAGGAAGTTTTAGAGCACTTCATGCTTCCTGCTGCTGACCAACTTTATGGGGATGCAGACTTCACCTTTCAACAGGACTTGGCACCTGCACACAGTGCCAAAACCACCAGCACCTGGTTCAAGGACCATGGTATCCCTGTCCTTGATTGGCCAGCAAACTCGCCTGACCTTAACCCCATAGAAAATCTATGGGGTATTGTGAAGCGGAGGATGCAATACGCTAGACCCAACAATGCAGAGGAGCTGAAGACGACTATCAGAGCAACCTGGGCTCTCATAACACCTGAGCAGTGCCACAGACTGATCGAGTCCATGCCACGCCGCATTACTGCAGTTATTGAGGCAAAAGGAGCCCCGACTAAGTATTGAGTGCTATACATGCACATTCTTTTCATGTTCATTCTTTTCAGTTGGCCAACATTAGAGAAACAAACATTTTTTCATTGGCCTTTAGAATATTCTAGTTTTCTGAGATACCAGATTTGATGTTTTCATTGGTTGTCACCTATAAATATCAAAATTAAACGTAATAAACATCGGAAATACATTGGTCTGTGTGCATTGCATGAATATAATGTACAAGTTTCACGTTTTGAATGGAATTACTGAAATATTTTCAACCTTTTGATGATATTCTAATTTACTGGCCAGCACCTGTAGTCCAGCTGCCGGCTTCTGCCTGCCAAGATGGCGCCGTTTCGATTTGAACTGTTGCATGCCGGGAGACGTGACGTCAACTCCCGGAGCTCTATGTGGCGTTCTAACCTATTTGAACCCCATTTCCGGGGCCTCGTTTTTAAAGCGTGCCTAAACACCAAGCAGGATCTGAAATGTATCCCTTTTTTACTCAAGCTGTGTGATATTTTAGAAAAATACACAAATTGTGTTCAAATGTACGCAAAGTCTGACCTTTGTGCATTCATAAAGCAAGAATTGTGTGCAGCTGTGTTTCAGAAATATTTAAAAACTTTTTTATGAGGTAGCAGCTGTTAGAAAATAATTTTATCTAGAAAGTTTGGAAGTGGCGTGCAAATGTGTAAAACTGTTACGCAATCCCTCTCAATGTGATTGTTAGTTGTCTGCTTATTGTGCGTGATGAAAATGTCCTCCAACACGTGGGGATGATGACGACTAAAGCTAAAGATCTTAGAAATGTAGTTATTGTGGTTTAATTATGAAGCGTGGCGTAACTCTTCTTAGGGCAGAGCGTCTTAGACGTGTTGCTAGGAGACAGCAGGGTAATTGTTAACAATTGTACTTCCTGAGGAAACTTAACTGATTTATTCTAAATTTAAAATATCCTTGTTTTAAATTGTTCTGGTTGCTGAGTGACCCAGCACCCGTCCCCTGTCCACTTCCTCTCTGTCCCCTGCATTCCTGCTCTGCTCCCCTTCGTCCCTGTCATCCCGCACCATGAACTCGTTATGCCTGGTTAACGCTCCCCCCTTCCCGTGTCCCTGCCGCTGTGTGTTAAACGCATGCAGTTCCTATCGTTGCCACAGTGGTGTTCGGCCTGGTCTGCGCCGGAGTCTACCTGGTGTGGCGTAACTGGAGGCGCAACTCCACCAAGAGCATGAACTTCGACAACCCCGTCTATCGCAAAACCACGGGCGAAGGGGAGGAGGACGAGATCCACATCGGACGGACTGACGCTATAGGACACCACATGCACCATCACCCGTTTCCTCAGGGAGTCGGCGTGGGAGTCGTAGGTGCTGCAGGGGGCGGCACTTGCCCGCAGTTTATCGCCCTGCCACTAGGGGGAAGCATGCCAGATCCTGGGACTCACTGGTACACAGAGCAGCCCATGCTGTCCGCTGTTAAGTGACCTTGTGGTTCAGACGGCCTCTCAGTCTCACACACACACACACACACACACACACACACACACACACACACACACACACACACACACGCACGCACGCACACACACACACACACACACACACACACACACAGAGGAGGATGGAGTTTACTGACAGAAAGAGAAACATATCATGAAGTCATGCAGCCGTTCACAGCCACATCAGACTCCAAATGTCATCAAAATAATTAGAGAGAAGAATTCTTGCCTTTACTGATGGAGCTGCTGGGAATCTTCCACGTTCTTGTGTCCCTGATCTGATGGAAGTGTGGTTCCAGGTTGCAGCTTGAGCCAGCTGAGTCCGACACTTAAGCCTGGTTCATGCTTCTCCGTCAGCTCCGCAAGGGACAGACACGCACGGATTGACGGAAGCGTTTTGCTCTCATACGTCTCCGTCTCCTGGAGAGTGTTGCAAAGCAATTCCCCGGCAGGACAACAGAGGGCGTAGCGCTGTTCTGTGGTATCCTGTCATGTAACGGACCAAGATCGTGTGTTTATATTGTTTTTTTTTGTATATAAGAGACTTTTAACACGGACATATTTGTCTCTCATTTCTCCACCTCTTCATGCGCTCCCCACCGCTAAACCTACGTTTCCTGTCATTTCCGTCCACAAATAAAACGCTTGCTGCGCATCTTTTCACTCCTCCAGTCACGGGAGGATGAAACGTTCATATTTTTTCGCGAGGTATTCTTCAAGCTGCTCCGTGTCTGCCGCTAGTTAAACTCGGCTCTCTTTGCAATGGCGGCGCTGTAAACAACAGCGGCGTCCTGACCAATCACAAGCTTGCGTAATCCGTCTCGTTCGACGGATGTTTAAAAAAGTGGGCTCGACTCCGTACGTGCTTGCGTGCCTGCCGGAGCCCTACGCAAGGACGGATAATGGCGTTGCGTGTCTCCGCACTGACGCAGACGGAGAAGCATAAACCAGGCTTTAGAGGAGGAGCTGGTGCGCGTATCGCTTTGTCCTTGATGTATTATTTTGGGAGTTATTCCTGGTTGGCAGCGAAGCTTTGGGACATCTGCTGAGGAAGGAGTCGTCCGGAAACTGGGACAGGCTGGTGAGACAATCTGTACAGATTGGGGGTCAAATCAATCACTTATGTTGTTACTTGGGTTGTCTTGTGTTGTAAACGTCTTTGTGGACGAGCTTTCCCGGTTCAGAGGCGGGCCTTTTGGGTTGAGTGATCCAACATTTCCCACTGTAGCTGAACACGAGTGGTTGGTTCCATCCTCTGGGTTTTAGTGAAGAGCAGACTGGACGGAGGTGAAAGTAGGCGTGGCTTGTTTAGACGTTACATGGTTTGAGAAAAGCAATAGGCTGCAGCTAGCAGCCAGATGAGGTGTTCTGTGTTGACAAAAGTCATCAGGTGTTAATAATTTTATTTGTTGACCTGCTTTCGACTGTGATACATGCACACAGATCCACACAGGGAGCAGCGACTCTCCAGAGGACGGGGTGCATTTGCCCTCCGAAAACACAAACGTCATGAATAATCGCCCGCCAGCTGACACCGCAGCCTTTCCACCGTAAACACACACATATGCACATGCACATCTGGCTGCGCGGCCCGCTCGCCTCCTCCTGAGATGGCCGCCATCTGAGCCGACAGTTCTGGATGGCACCGCTCAACTGGGCCCTGCTGGTGCCTGCATCATCACAAAGACCTGTCATGTGATGTGAGCACAGCAAGCAGGACAGCGGTGACGCGACGAGTCCGAGAGCGTCTCGCCCTGGCGGTGCAACGACTGCTTCCTCCATTCATTAACCTGAGAAGTGTGTGTGTGTGTGTGTGTGTGTGTGTGTGTGTGTGTGTGTGTGTGTGTGTGTGTGCGCTCAGTAAGATGCATGTGTGCCAGTGTTCATCACACAGCCATATTTGAACTGTTTCGTATGCTCTTTGTTGCACAGCCTTCTCAGAGTTCCTTCTGTGTTTTGCATGGAAGACGTGTGTGTGTGTGTGTGTGTGTGTGTGTGTGTGTGTGTGTGTGTGTGTGTTATTGGTTTGTAAATATGTTTTCATAAGGTTTTATATGATAGCTGTACATAAGATTTTCGATAAAGTGTCGACAGGCATATTAATTTATTTGTATAAAGAGAAGCAATCTCGTCCCTGATTGGAAGAAATCAGTTTTCCACCAAAGTGGTTTGTCTGTTTGTTTGTTTGGTTTGTAATGTTTCTTGCTGTGCATCGTTTAGCATCTTTATTGTGTGTTGCGACCGTTGCGACGCTCCCATTTTCGCCCCGCCGCCTTCTCACACCCACTAGAAAAGGCCAACACACACACCACAGTGTGGACGGTGACGGGATGATTCGTTTAATTGTGCCTTTTGGTTTTTCTTTTTCTGGCGTGTTTTAAACTCATCCAACGAGGACGGGCCAGCTGCTGTGCTGATAACCATGAGCTGTATTAGAGACTAAACTGGTTTCACTTTTTAATCTTATGTACTTTTGAATATCTCTATTTATTGATATATAAAATCTGACAAAAGTCCTGCGTCTCTCTCGTTTATTGTCTTTCATTCTTTTAATTTATTTGAACCAAGGTTTAAGAAAATACGTCAACGAAGCTTCAGACCTCCTCGCTGATTTCTACTGTTCTGATCAGATTTCATGTCAGACAAAGATAACCTGAGTCGTTTTCAGATGATGATTCCATTTCTTACGATAACGGAACCATTCAAACCAGCCAAAACTAACAACTGGTCGTGATCCCCTACGACCAACCACCCGCGAACCACCAATGAGTCCCCCACCCCTCTGGAGGAGCTCCGTCCCGCTTTTCTCCACAGAATCGTCTGAGTTCAGACACATCGCAGGGTTCTCCAGTAGGAATTATGTGTTTAAGGTCAAAGGTCAGGGGTCCTCCTTCAGGATGTTCTGCTAGAGTCAGAAGTCATGGTTCCATCAGTTACAGCAGGTGTCAGGTGTGAAGCAGCAGAGCAGTCCCCGACCATCACACTGCCACCACCAGAATGTTCCTCAGAATATCCACCCAGAAGTCTTTGTGATCATTAGGATGTTTGTTAGTAAAGGTGAGACGGGTCTTACATGAATCATGACCCCTGACCCTAACCTGGCCCAGGCAAGGCCCGCGGCGCTTTAGATGTTCTAGGTTCATTTTTTCTTGAGTCTCTTTAGAGCGAGGTCTGATGTGTTGCTTTTAGAGATCCTTTAGCCTACTTGGGTCTTAATGTGTGTAACGCTGCCGCCACACTGCAGTTTCCCAGACTGGGATCAGTAAAGGTCATCAGTCCATCTGTTTCACTCAGGACCAGGTCATTTGGGACAAACGTTGTTCCTTTATTAAATGAAATCATCATTTAAAACTAGGTTTTGTATGGAGTCAGGTTACCTCTGTGTGATCCGAAACTTTTCTACAAAGAAAAAGCAAAAGAAATCAGTTGGAGTTCAAACACATTTGTATTTAAATAAACAGCATTGATGCTGATATTGGACCAGCTGAAGCCAGATGGCATGTGCCAGTGTTTGGTTAACAAAGCTCTGAAGAAGAAGAAGAATCATTTCTATAGCGCCTCTCTCTGATAAAAATCACGAGGCGCTTCACAAAAACAAAAAATGTAAAAATATAAAAAAGAATTTAGAAAATGATTAAAAATATATTAAAATGAGCAAAAATAGACAATTGTGATAAAAAATGTAAAGAAAGAGAGAGAGTGAACAGGAAAGAGGGAAATCAGTGGATCCTGAGGAAGGTGGAATAGGTGGGAGAGCAGAATAAAGAGAGAGAGGTGAAGAAGGTCATACAAAAGCCAGCTTGAACAAGTGAGTCTTCAGCTGCTTATTAAAGGAGACCACTGAGTCCACTGATCTCAGGCTCAGGGGGAGAGAGTTCCAGAGTCTGGGGGCCACAGCAGCAAATGATCTGTCACCTTTGACCTTTAGCCTGGTGCTGCACAACCAGTAGGCTTTGATCACTGGACCTCAGGGACCTGCTGGGGGTGTAGGGACTAAGAAGATCACCAATGTAAGATGGTGCTTGTCCATGTAAGGCCCTATAGACCAGAACCAGGATCTTGAAATGAACCCTGAAGTTGACTGGCAGCCAGTGAAGCTGGAGGAGAAGCGGGGTGATGTGGGTGTGTTTGGGTAAATACTCCAGTACTTCACCGGTCTGCACATGCTGCTGACAAACTGCATTTGTGTTCCTTCTTTTTCACTCTTTTTATTTTTTCTCTATTTTCTCTGGACTGTCCATAAAATATGCAGGACAGATTTCCCCTCCAGACGTTTACAGGGTTCATTTTAATATCTGTGGCGTTTTCCTGTACTCACTATTTAGGGTTTGTGTTCATGCAGACATTTCACCAAAAGTTTCTTATCTGCAACAACCAACAGTCAGCATCCTTTCATTTTGTGGTCAATTGTAAACGTCCTGTTGGATCTAAAGTCCTCGATCCTCCTGCCAGCAGATCAGACGTCGTTGTCTCGGAGATGTTTGATGATCAGGTTGTTTATTGTTGCTTTTTCCTTCTTCACACTTTACTCCTCTGCTAACGTGACCACCCCGTCTCCAAATGAAGAGTGTTGCCTTCATGAGATAAGATCAACTCATTAGGAGGTCACGCAACCCCACATCACAGACCAAAAACAGCCTCTGAAGGCTCTCTGTGTGGAGGCGGTGCTGCGATGAGTCTCATCTACGCTCCCGTCCGCATGCAGGCAGATCCAAAATCAAGCCAATCACACTCAACTACTGAACTTTGATCTTCTAAACGATGCTAATAATCCACAATGTTTTACCTGAAGTGTAGTCATTCAGCAGAGATTTGTAATAATTGTTTCAGTAAATTTTCATTTTGATGCCTTAACAACGGGAAATAAAGAAATTACACTTCTGTTTTTTCTTCAGGTCTTTCCTCGTTTTAGAGATGAAGTCACTTAAAGGGACAGGTGACAGTTCTGTTGTTTGACTCGTGAACGTTTCAGTGTTCAACAGGTGATCAGATCGCTGCCTGAGTTTAAAGAGCAAGTCACCCCCTGCCAGATTCTTACTCAACTCCCACTTCCTGTTTGAAAAATGCAACAAATGCTGTTTCCTAGCAGACCGAGAGGGCGGAGCCGCTAATAAATACACATACTCGCGACATTGTGACATCATAATGTACCATCTGACATCATAGTGTACCTCTTAGCCAATAGCGATGGCAGGTTTAAATTCAAATGCAGTGCAGATTTTTTTGCCTGACCACGGTGCAACACTGACATTTTTAGGCAGAATATTTAAATTTTAACTAAGATGCACTAAAGTGCTGAATTATTGACTGCACGTGTCTGCAGCACGATCAGACACTCTTATATAGTTTATCAACAAAATAAATGTTGATTTGGAGTGACTTGCTCTTTAACGACGAGCGATTTCACGTTCCACACCAGGAACCAGCTGTTGCACATCTGTACTGGTGTGCTGTGGCAGTACCCCCCCCCCTCCCCCCCCACACACACACACCTGTAAACCCTCACAGACCCAAATGTGTTCAGCATTCATCCATTAGCTGAGTAATTCATCAGCCCACAGAGAAGATGCAGCAGACAAATCCAATACATTATGATTATTAGAGGAGAACGCCTTCAGACTGAACGCCGGTGCTGCCTGCAGCAGACAAAAGAGGTGTCGGAGAAGTTTACTGCTGCACACAGGCAGAGATGAGCCTCCATCCACGGTGATGCCCCCAGCCCATTGTCTGGGGGGGGGGGGGGGGGGGGGGGAATAGGCTGTGCTGAGTTAAAATGTCCTGTAGCTTTTGGGACGGCTTCAGAAACATATAATTTATTTTGTGTTCCTGTATTTGGTCCCTTATCTGAAGACCCCCCCCCCCCCAGAGGATGTGGACTCAGGGTTTTTACTGCAGGACAGCCGGCTCTGCTGAGATGGCGTCACTCTGTCAGACACAGATCTTGGTCTTTTTCATCTCCGTGCTCAACCCTTTCAGTCTTACCTGTCAAACACGAGTCCTTCCAGCAGTTTCAATCCTCCGGCCCTCGCCCTTTCCCAGGCTCTAATGGGCCATTCCTGTCTGTACCTGGTCGGCCCGGATAGCACAGCATGCTTACATGTCTTGGTGGCCTGCCTTTTTTCAGGTGCAACGAGACTGTTTTTCAGCCCTCTTTCTGAGGGGGTCTGCTTCAGGCTGAACAGGGCCAACACACCCAATGCTGACAGCAAATTCACACCTTCCATTAGAGCAAGCCTCTGATTGGTGGGTAGAATCAGCCCACATGGGCATGCTCAATTCATCATCATTCATTATCATGCTGATTACCTAGAAGCTGAAAATGTCTCTGACTGCATTCCTTGCATAACTAAGCAAGGATGTGTGGAATCAACCGGGCCAGGCTGGGGCCGACTGGAGCTATCCGGGCAGCGCCGACCAGGTACAGAAGGGAATGGCCCATTAGAGGAACAAAGGCCATCCTGGCGGTCGCCCCCCCTCCCCCGGCCGAGCCGTCCCAGAGCTGCCACTCAGCTAGCCTTCTGGCTCAAATCGGTGGGTGTTGTGTTCCTAATCATCTGTCACGCCCAACAGCGCGTGTAATCCTTTAGATCTGCTCAATTTAAAATTCTGGTTAGTGTTCCAGTTTCTTAGCAGTCGTTAAACTGAATGGTGAATGGTGCCACCTGCTGCTCGCTTTTGTCTTTGCGCCAACAGGACTGATTCAGACTAGTTTGAAACATAATGCATCCTTTTTCTGCCTTATTTTATTCATTTTTCTGCCTTATTTTATTCAACATATTATGTGATATGTGTACAGATTCATATGAGAAACAGCAGTGACTGCCTTTCTTTTATTCACTGTGCTTGGCATGCAGATATTTTCAGTTGCTGCTTAATTTCTCCAAATTATTATAAATTTACCTGAAAATCATTAAAAGTTTTAAATATTTTTGACAACTGCAAACATAAAATATCATACAAACATTTATGAATAAATACAAATTCCATTGCATAGCTTGTGGAGCTCGGTAGCGACGTTAGTGTACAGAGATCCGCTACAACCTTTAAAGTAAAAGCAAATGAAATCAGAGTATTAATTTAAAAGTGCATCGACCAACAGTCGTCCAACCTCTGAGTCAGTGATCGATTCTCGTTTTAGTCTCGTCTGTCCGTCCGCTGGTCCAGCTCCCAGCGTGTTAAATCTGTCTCCTGAAGTGTGTGAGAAGACGACGACTCTACAGATGTTCTCCAGCGGTGACATGAGCTCGGGCTTTAGCGTGGGCCTGCAGAAGGGTGGCCGTGTCCATGTGGGAACCTTCCATTGCGATGGAGAGAGCGCTCCGACCCCGCTGGAAGGAAAAATCCTCATGTTACCTGGATAGGAATACTTGTGTGACTCTTTGTAAAAGTCCATATCTGTCATATGTGAGCCTCAGCAGCCTCATAGAGACAGAGAGTTCACATACATCATGTAGAAATCAATGGGGATTTTTTTTCTCACAAATTCAACATTTGAGCATTTTTCCTAAAACCTGTACACTTGTTTCTGTAGGAAAATTAAAGGGACTTTATGGAGTTTTGAATTTTTATGCTCGTGATTGCCCCCTCAGGCCAAAAGCGTAATGGCAGCTTCAATAGTAGGCTCGTGCACGAGGCGCGCATGCTGTACGTGCACACTCCTTAACGAAAATAACAGCTGAGACAGTCCCGTGTGTGTGTGTGCGTGTTTGTGTGTGTGTGTGTGTGTGTGTGTGTGTGTGTGTGTGTGTGTGTGTGTGTGTGTGTGTGATGCCTGGAGGACAGAGGACAAGAGAACGTGCAGCTAATTAATTAAATAATTTGGTTCTGTACCTTTCTCTTCAGCACAGCCGACAAAGGTTTATGATGGGTCAGTCCTCCTGCATGCTCAGATCATTCCCTTCCCTTGCTTGAAAAATTGTTCCAAAATGAAAGTTGAACCCACATCTTTTTTATCTGGGAATTCAATGCCGTTCGGCGAGTCTCAAATAAAAATTTGGGCATCTTACTGTAAAAAAAATATACCATTAATGTAAAAAAGAAACTCTAAATAAACTATGTTCACATCCAGAATCAAACCCAGGTTTTCTGCACAAGACTCTAACATCTTACTAGGTGAGCTAAAGCACCAGTGACATCTTTTGTATCTGTAACATTTATATCCTTGATGACAGCTGAAACAACGTCAAACCAAAGAACGGTTCGGAGTGAAAATGGCTATTTTGTTGCTAATTAGCAGGAAATATCTAGAAGAAAGTTCTACAGAAAGTAGCTAAGGGTCCTCAGAAATGTAGCTAGCTTTGTCACTAGGCGTTAGGAACAGCGACAAAGTGGCACTGCCTCTCTCTCTGCTGCTAAAGCTACGGATAGCAAATGCTACGGGCGATGCCTGAGCGTGAACGCACATGAAGCAGCCTGCTCGACCCGAGCATCTCTCTTTTTCTGTGATTTTACAGAAAAACAGGCAATCACAGTAAAAATGCCAGGGCTCATTCTACAGGACCAGGGCATTGCAGGAGAATGTATGAAGAAGACATTTAATATTTCTATACATGTTTTGGCTGTCAAACTTCCATAATGTCCCTTTAAATGTCAGCTTTGCTATTATTTTTAACACATATGCAGTGGTCTCTAATAGGAATGAATGCCTTGTAAGTCATTCTCTGGGGAAAATAAAGCTCTGGTGCATCTGTTTGAGGATGCACATGTCAGCTGGAGGAGAAAACAGCTTCAGACGGCGGGATTTGGAGTCTTATTTCCTGACATTTGGACATCTCTCAAAACAGCGTCACAAGTCTACCACTGACTCTGTTTAATCTGCAACATTGATGTTTTATCTCCACCAAAAACACAATCCTGACAGACTTCTGCTGTGTGGTGGAGATGCTAACGCTAACAGTTAGCTTCTACTAGCCAAGACGTTCTCTGATATTTCCTGGACGCTAAACTATCAACCTTCATTGTCGTGAGTCCAGATGGCTTTTCTAATCCAACAGTTTCATCATCTATTTTCTATCAGACCTAATGCAGGAGATTGGTGTAGGAGACTATTTTCATGTTCAGCCAGCATGAAAAACTCAGAATGACGATCATTCAAACAAATAACAGGTAAAAATGGTTTCTCAGCTAACCTGCTCTTTAAAGAGCAAGTCACCCCCTACCAGAGTTTTACTCCACTCCCACTTCCTGTTTGAAAAATGCAAAAAATGCTGTGGCCTGGCAGACCGAGAGGGCGGAACCTCTAACAAATACACACACACACACACAGGCTCACAACAACATTGTGACATCATATGGTACCAGTCTTTAAAGAGCAAGTCACTCCAAATCAACATTTTTTTGCTGACAAACTATATATATGAGTGTCTGATCATGCTGTAGGCTAATGTAGTCAACAATTCGGCATTTTAGTTCTTCTTAGTTAAAATTTAAATATTCTGCCTAAAACTGTCAGTGTTGCACCGTCGTCAGGTAAAAACTGCACTGCATTTGAATTTAAATCTGCCATCGCTGTTGGCTAAGAGGTACACTATGATGTTAGATGGTACATTATGATGTCACAATGTCGTGAGTGTGTGTATTTGTTAGTGACTCCGCCCTCTCGGTCTGCTAGGCAACAGCATTTGTTGCATTTTTCAAACAGGAAGTGGGAGTGGAGTAATACTCTGGTAGGGGGTGACTTGCTCTTTAGGAACTTCCTGCATGACTTCATTCATGGAGGACCTGGGGAGTGGATGATGCTGGTGATATTTAAAGCAGCTTTCCGGAGTTTTCCCCTTTCGGAAATTATGCATGATTTTTCAGAAATCCGTAAAAGTGATGATCTTATCATCTACTGTGATATAATGAGAGCAATACGTCTAATTATTATTATTATTTTTTTTTTTTTTGCTAAGCACGCCCCCTGCCCTGCAGAGCTCTGTGCAATAGGAAACTGAACGCCAACCAGAACTAACCAATAGCGTTAGATTACGGCTTACGTGCTTCAAATTTAAGGAATACCTCAGCTGAGGCAGAGTTGATGAACTTTTCACGGACAAGAAAGTCTCTAAAATATAAATATATGAGAACACGACATGACATGAGAATAATACTCGTAAAACAACGTGTTCTAGCTGTTTGTCGGCCACAGGAGCACATCAGAAACATGAAGTCGCCATCTTAAAAAAACTGCGAGAGACTGTTTGTGTGATATGCTTGTCAGCCACTAGATGGTGCCATCGGATAAGAGAAATACTCCGGAAAGCGACTTTAAGCTTGTAAATATCAACAGAATTCAACACAGTTCCATTCCAACCATAGCTGCTGTCTAATAAAATAAAATATGAGGATGTTTAGACGCATTCTAGCAAAGGGATGTGAATTCCTGTGTGTCAGCAGCTTCAGACAAATGCTCCCTGTCTCACAGGATTCTACGTGGAGCTTCGGTTCTGTGGTGTTACCTTGTCTGTGAGCCTCAGATCACACTGGCTCCTCTCCAGCAGCAGTCTGGCGATGTGGGTGTGTCCTCGCTCAGAGGCGAACATGAGCGCCGTTTTACCCTGGTTGTCCTGGATGTTAGCGTCAGCCCCACGGCTCAACAGCAGTCGGACCATGACGACTCGACCGTGTCTCACTGCCAAGTGCAGGGCTGCCTGGCCTGTCTGTGGTGTGACACACACACACACACACACACACACACACACACACAGTGTGTGAGTGAGAAACAGACCAGTTCTTTCCAGATTGATAACAAATGAGATATGTGCTCTCTGATTTCAGATCTCAAAGATCGTTTGGTTCATGTGAATTTAGTTTGGTCAGACGTCACACTGTGGTCACTTCTAACAGGAAGTGTGGATGAAATACGTCTCCACGCATGCCCTACGGTTTTGGGCTGTAAGTTGCACTAAACTGCCACACTAATGATTACACATGTCTACAGCACCATTAGTCACTCATCTAAACATGTTATCAGTAAAAAATTTACTTTAGTATTACTTGCTCTTCAGGCTAACTGCTGCCAACTTATTGGATAAGCAGAAATCTCATTTCCTCCAACCTGAGGTTGTTCATAGAGCTGTCCACAACAAGATGTCTATTTTTTATTTATTTTCCAACAAGGATGTTGTAATCAGGAGGTTTCTGGTCTCAGTGTTAGCTGACTGTCAGACAACATCCAATAAATACATTAAAGTTCTCATAATCAATGTTCAGGAGGATCACGGTGTAGGGAGACAGATCCCAACGTGTGTCTCCTTATTCCTGCTAGGTCTTAGTATCACCTGTTTGTTTTATAAACACAGTTTTACACTAAAGTTGTTGCTTGTGAACACTAATAATCCCTGAATGGTAACACAGCTTGTTCCCATTGCCTTGTGGAACAGGAGTCACACACACACACACACACACACACACAACCAGGATCTATGAACACCAGCTGGTGACTAGAGGGTTAAAAAGGTGACTGAAGGAGTTCCAGGTGGGGTTGTGACCTGCTTTAACTCAGCATGGAACAACATCTGAATGTTTCATCTTTGTTTGTTTATCTCTCTCTCTCTCTCTCTCTCTCTCTCTACCCCCCACCCCCACCCCCCACCCCCCCTCTGAAGGTCTAGAAGCAGACTCTTGTTCATCATTGATTGTTTATTTTTGTCAACCCCCAACACCACCTCTTCCTTCTCTCTCCCCCTTTTCTCTTAAAGTTACGTCTCCGTTGGAATTTCAAACAACAGAAAATATTCCTAATAAAGTTTTGGTATCAGGAGTGGTACTAGAGCAGAAGCTATAATGCTCCACCTGAGAGAGTAAAACTGCAAGGCTTCGGCATTCAGACATCAATTAAGCCAGACAAGACACGGGGAAAAAAGAACACTCTGGCCTCCACCTGCTTGGAGCAAATGTTGACGTTTCCCAGCTCCATCAGTTTGCGTACGACCTCCATCCCAGCAGGTCCCTCAGGAGCTGTTAGCGAGGCTAGCATCACTGCTGTGTAGCCGGCGTTGTTCTGAATGTTCACATCAGTCACACCTGTGGTTCAGAGACGATGGTGAACAATCAGCTCTACAGCCGTCCGCAGCTGTTGTTAGCATACCGCTACCTGTGTCCAGCAACAGGCTGACGATGCTGTAGTTGCAGTGGGACACGCTGTAGTGCAGCACCGTGTTGCCGTTGTCGTCTGCAAGGTTTACGAGAAAGGCCAGCAATGGCGGAGTCGTCCTCCTCACATCCTTCAGGAACTCAGACACCCTGCAGGCCTCAGAGTTCTCCTCCGCTGCAGCGCTGAACCAGAACTCAAACACTGTGACCAGAGCTTTCCTCTGTACAGTAAAAACAAACCCAAGATCGTCTCATATCCAAAGTTAAATACCATTCCATTAGTGAGTTAGGTGCCCTAAAACAAAAACTACTACTGCTTGTTGGCTGCAGGCTCCATAGCTCATTAGGGAAGCTAGTTTCTGCTTGTTGAACGAATTACATCAGAAAGTTTAAAGAGTTCATCCATTAACACAGCAGGTATTAAAGTGCAAGTGAGCAAATTCAAAAGGAGATGTTTTATGAAAATTCCAGTTTTAGGGTGTTGTTTGAGATCAGGTCAGTCTCACGCTGCAAGAATCACTTTTATCTGACTGACTAGCTAGAGATGCAAGATCATAAGAAAATGTACACGTCCCAGTAAAAGACCTTTCTAAAAGGCCAGGTCCCATAACGGTTATGCACCATGCGTCGGGTGCCAACCCTTCCCAAAGTTGTTTTCCTACTATTTTCTGTCTCATGAAGGCTGAACTGAAGATTTAGAGACATGACAAATACACCGCCCGGCCAAAAAAAGTCACCACCCAGAAATTATGAAGGTCACACACTCTAGCTTTGCACACATTTGCTGTGGCGTGGTTTTGATAAGCTTCTGCAATGTTACAATTTTTATTTCCATCAATCTGGACTCAGACCAGTTTTAATCAAGCGTTGGACAGTTCCAAAACCCAGTTTTAGTCGTTTCTGCATCTCCTTAGATGTTTTCTCTGCTTGATGCATGCCAAATGATCTGACCCTTCTCACACAGACATCTTTTCCACGACCACCAGATGTGTCTTTCCGCAAGGTTGTTTAAGTAAGGAGAAGCAGCTCATTGCGCCAGTTGGGGTCAGGGGCGTGTCCAGGGAGTGGCCTGGGGTAGCACATGTTTACCCTTGGAATCTGATTGGCCACCCCAGGCACCACTAGGGTTGTCACGGTAACCGGTGTAGCGGTAAACCCCGGTAAAAAAGTTGACAATAATAATAACCGTCTTGTTTTTAAAAAAAAATATTATCTCAATGGATTATCGTGGCTGCGGTGTAGGCGCGGTGACCCTTACCAGCCACCGTATCATCTGCTGAAGTTGCAGGCGGCACATGCGCACTTTGTTGTTTACAACCAAAACTTTCTTTAAGCTAAAACTGAAATAATGGCCAAAGGAGGAGACGGCAGCACTCAGGACATTTATTATCCCTCAAAGAAGACAAAGTGGGAAGTACGGGCATTTTTTGGTTATTTGAAGAATGCCGAGGGACAGTTGATAGAAGACGGCTATCCTGTTTGCAGCACGTGCAGAAAAAGAGTCTGTGAAAGGCAGCAACGCTTCAGATCTCATGACACATCTGCGTGACCATCACCCACAACTCTACAGTCAACGCAAGGCAAGCTAACGTTAGCGTTTTAGCTAAAATGCGTGATCCGAGGATTTGGGTTGAGGGAGAACGCAACGAGTCGCTATATAAAGCAGCCGCAGCGCCGCTACCTGCATATAAACCGTGTCGCGGACACCCCCATGTTGAAATGACGCTATGCATTACGGGGCTCCCAGGGGCCGATAAGAGCTGGTCTCTCTCCGAGAATAATTATGAATTTAACAACGATTACTGCCTGATGACATTTTCCCACATCTGCAAAGCTCACTGGAAGGACACAAACCGAGGACAATATTTTCCTGATATAGGGTTTATTACTCAAGTAAGGGTAAATAAGTATCTGATTAGAAGGCTACTTGAGTACTGAGTATCACCTGATCTAATATTTTTAAAATGATGACATCAAACAGACAAAAAATAAGAAGTTATGGGCAAATATTGGTATTTTAAAGACTAAAGGGAAAAAATGTAAACAAATAAACAACATCATTACAAAATAACACATTTTAGGCTAAATTTAGACGCAAACTGAGGACAATATTTTCCTGATATACAGGGTTTATTTAGTTGTGTGAAAATGTAGCTCGTTTAAAAAAAATACTGCGATAATACAGAAAACCGTGGTAATTTTGGTCACAATAACCGTGAGGTTAAATTTTCACACCGTGACAACCCTAGGCGCCACCACACTAATTTACCTTTAAATAGGCTTTTCATTGTCCAAAAAAGGCTTGGGGGTAAAACAAAAATAGCATAACCATTGGTGCCACCCATGCACAAAGTTGTGCCTCACCTGGGCCACCCCATTTTAAAAGATCTGGGCACGCCACTGGTTGGGGTTAAATGACGTGTTACAGCTGAAAGATCCTCCCCTCCCATGCAGTAATTGTCCAATAGGACCTTGTATGTATCTCTCAACACGCCAAATCCTGACTCGGCACATGAGAGGGCAGTCCTACAACTCACAGGAAGAAACTACAAATCCTCACAGTGGTTTTGAGTCGGCCCAGGGAGAGAAAGTCGTGCATGAAACGTTCACCTCACAGCGAGAAACATGGTGGAGGTCACCATCAGCCTCCACCTGTAAGGGGAGCTTTCAGACTCCATCTCTGGGATTTAGGAAACATTTTCTGCCCGACCTGTTTGTAATCCATCAGGAATGTCAGCTTTTATTAGAATAAATGCTTACCATGTCGTCGTTTGGGTTGGTCATGTTGTCTACATGATCTTTGAGGAAAAGACAAGCAGACATGACATCTGCACTAACTGTGTCACTGGAAGAATAAAGAAAGAGCACAAAAGTGTGAGAGCATCACACACACACAGATCAAACAGAAATATATTTTATGACATAGCTCTAATATCCTGTATTTATCTGTGTTTCCTCACCTGCTCCTGGCTCCTGAGTTTATCTCCATCTGTTCACCTGGAGCGTTCGTTTTGGCCGTTTTCTCTGGAGTCGTGTCCTCCAGCAGCGCTCTGCCTCCATCAGTCTGTCCTGATATCGTTCCCACTGGCGTCAGATGTCCCTCTGGGCCGGTTGGCCTCTCTGCTTCAGTCACTCGGTTTGCAGGGTCTGCACCTACCTGCGCTGCAGCCACCCTCCCAGCCTGGCCCCGATTCAGCAGGTTTCCACTTGCAGAAGGAAATAAAATAAATAGAAAGATTATCCATCTGAGTGTTGGTGAAGTTGAAGAAACAGTTCCTAAACTTTTAGGATGTTGCCAAGTTACAGGAACTAGACCCAGATTTGTGTGAGAGAACTCAGAAACATCATTTAAAAGGTTTAAGTCTCGTTCCGGAGTACTTCTCTTATCCGATGGCACCATCTAGTGGCTGATAAGCATATCACACAAATACTTTCTCCTTTCGTTTTTTAAGATGGCGACTTCACATTTCTTGTTTATAGATGTGCTTCTGTAGTCGACAAACAGCTAAAACATGTTTTACAAGTGTTAGTCTGTTACGTCCCTCAGCTCGCCAGGAGTGATGTGGTGGAGGGAGTAAGAGATGCGGTGTGTAGGTAAATAATAAACAGAGTAATTTGTGTCTCAAACAAAGGATTTTTATTAACACAAATAGCCTACAAAAGGGAAAAGGGTTAAACATAAAGCACCAAGCCAAAAGAGCTGAGAGGAGAAAATATGTTTAGCTAAAATATTCAATATATGTACACAAAACACTAAACTCAATATATTTACAATTACTAAACAAGAGACGTCCTGTTAAGCGGAGACGCTCAGGGGAGATCCAAAAGGGGGAGTCAAAGGCCAGTCCAAAGTCAAATTATCCGAAATCCTAATTATCCAGAGTCTAAGCCACGAATTTACCAAATTACCACGAAGCAACCCCCCCACCCCCCTGCCGGCCCCGCCGCCACAGCTGGAAAAATTCCTAGGGGAAACACTGACTATACGATATAACGATATAGTGAGCCAAAAACTGCATGATTCTTCTTCTCACTCTTTTGACCTGAGAGACCAGAAGAGTCATGTATTTAAAGTTCATACAGTCTCCAACCCCATCAGTCAGGCTTCCTTAGAGTTTGGATTCTTTAGTCGACAGCTGAGGAGGCAGGAGGGGAATCAAAATGCTTTTCCCTGTCAGAACCACACCGACAGCTTAACCCTCCCACTGTCCTAATGGGTGTGACCCCGCGAGGAAAGTTGACCATTGAGCAGGGTTGATGGTTTATCCCTTGAGGTCCATGTGGCAGGGGTGAGGTGGTGCTCACTCCTCACCCCTGCCACATGGACCCAAAGGATGAACCATCAACCCTGCTCATTGATGAACTTTCCTCGTGGGGTCACACCCATTAGGACAGTGGGAGGGTTAAAGAGCCTCATTCTCAGTCAAGTATCCAGTAATCCTATCTGTTAGAGCAGCTGACGTCAGAGCGAGGTGTCTACTAACCCTTCATTTGCAGCTTTTGAGTGCAGGCTCTTTGACTTTTGGCCACTTGCATCCATCTTCAGGGTGGATTTAGAGGCTGAACAGGAGAAAAACACACGAGATGTAATGGAAAAGCAAAAAATAAATAAATAAAAAGCTGCTGGTAAGATATACGCATGAAACAGTTTTGCCTTATTTAGATATTTTCTGTTAATTTTTAACTGAGTTCATCAGCAGCTACACCAAGATCTGACCACTAAGGGAGCTCTTCAGTAGAAGCTGTCTGACAAGATAAATGGCTAAAAGATCTCAAAATGCAACACATCAGGCCTGTTCAAGAAGAATCCAGAGCATCTAATCCCATCTGCACTTCGTCTGAGTGTGGTGTTGATCACACTAAAAGTGCACCACTGCAGCAAGGACGGGGTTCTGACAGAACTCGTTCCTGCTGGAACAAGCCAACAAGAGGGGCTGACTTCTGTTTTATATGCAACAATATTTCCTAAAACCCTCTCAGGCTCAAAATAAGTTTTGATAAAAGGACAAACAACTAAGTCCTTCATGAAACAAGTGTGTGGAGTAACCAGGTAGGCAGGTTTTACTGTTGCACATCTGCTACGCCTGCCTCCAGAGGGTTAAAGGCCTTTACTACAGTTTTTTACTAAATGTTCCCCTTAGTAATGGATTATTTTAGCAACCTTAGTGCCACTTTTATCGCTACTCTCACTCCTTTTGGCCATTTTAGGTTCCACTTGACAATTTCTTCCTTATGTTTTATTTTTCTCCCACAGAGATTGTTCCACGGCTTCACAGGTCACCGCTACAGCAGCACGATGCCACTGGAAGGAAATAAAACACGATTTCAGTGCCCATGTCACACACCCCAGGTAACGGGTTTCCATCCGGGTTGTCATGGTTACCAGAGAAATGCTGCAAATAAGCAGGTTTATGTGTATGCACAATATTCACAGTGTAGTTAGCTTGTAGCCTGGCAAGCCAGACTAAATAAATGTATTCTTTAGTATGGCAACGCTCCATTGACGGCTCTCGGTTGTGGGGCGGGTTCTACCGTTGTCTTTCAAATGATCTCCGCATTCCACTGGACAATGAATGTGACATACTCTTGTTTCACTCTGTTGCATCATCCCACCCACCAGGCATATAGAGTGCCCTGATTGGCCCACAAAGCGGATAAAGCGCTGTGATTTGTTCACTAAGCAGATAGAGCACTATGATTGGCCCACCATTATGGACCAATCACAGCTCTTTATGTGTTTGAAACCCCTCTAGAGAGCTGTGATTGGCCAGCCAGAGTCCTGGTAGGAGCTGCTGAGGTTCCAATGGAGCATGCCTAGACCAAACTTTGCAAAGCAAGAATTTGGTCTAGTTCACTAGGCTAGTTAGCTTGTCCATTTATGGTAGAAGGTGTGTGGGAGGTGGAGTGTGACCCACAAACACCTGAGCACATTTCTAGGACAGGTGTGATGGTAACATTTTACAATAATAGACCCAAAATTGTGCTTTATTACTAGGTAACGACTTAGGAGGTAATGAGTAATAAACCAGGTACTAATGGGTGGTTAACCAGTACTTACTGGTTAAAAACACCCACCCGTCACATTCAGGGACTGACTAAAGGGAAGTTATCTAAGGAACGGAGGAGGAGCGAGTCATCACCTACATCTCCTACTACTTTGCGCCCCCTAAAGTTAAGTAATGCCTTTTCCCAAGTACCTATTGAGGAACGAATCATTACTTACTCAGTACTTAACCATTAACATCTTTTTTTATTATCCATTGTTGAAAAATAACTGATTTCTTAAAAATAATATTGAAAAAATTAATCAACCATTTTTAATAGTTAGCATTCGCTAATTAGTGTTTTAGCTAACACAGCAAACTATGAAGGTTGTTCATCATTCCGGTCTGGAAATGAGGAACAATGAAGTGCTAATGGACTAAATACAGCTTTGGATTTAAAATGTTGCCTTTCGATTTGAGTTCTCCTTCTATTGGGAACATTTATGTCGGCCTATAAAAGACAAGAGGTGCATGACTACCCCCTACCATCGACATACATATAGCCCCCTACTGACCAGGAGTGGGCACCAGCACTTCTCTCCCACCACCCACCCTAAACCCTCCTAAACATCTTGCCGCAATAGAAGGAACTCGTCAGCTGGCATAAACCACATAAATGGTCCTCTTGGACGTTTGCTTCCTGACAGGAATACCGTAAAAAAGTTTTTAACAAATGGAAATAAAACTAAAGCTCTAGTGTTAGCTGCAGGTGCATGTGAGTGTGTGAGTGTGTGAATGGAAGTCAAAGGAGGGTCCTCACTATGATAGAAAGACAGACATGTGTGTGTGTGTGCGTGTGAGTGCGTGCATGCGCGTGTGTGTGCATGCGTGTGTGTGTGCATGCATGCGTGCGTGCGCATTTGCGTGCATGCGTGTATGTGTATGCGTGTTTGTGTGCGTGCGTGTGTGTGCGTGCATGCGTGTGTGTGCATGCGTGCGTGTTTGCGTGTGTGTGCGTGCGTGCATGCGTGTGTGTGTATGCGTGTTTGTGTGCGTGCGTGCATGCGTGTATGTGTATGCGTGTTTGTGTGTGTGCGTGTGTGTGCGTGCATGCGTGTGTGTGCATGCATGCGTGCGTGCGCATTTGCGTGCATGCGTGTATGTGTATGCGTGTTTGTGTGCGTGCGTGTGTGTGCGTGCATGTGTGTGTGTGTGTGCGTGAGTGAGTGCGTGCATGCGTGTGTGTGCATGCGTGCGTGTTTGCGTGTGTGTGCGTGCGTGCATGCGTGTGTGTGTGCGTGCGTGCGCATTTGCGTGCATGCGTGTATGTGTGTGAGTGTTTGTGTGCATGCGTGTGTGTGTGTGCGTGAGTGAGTGCGTGCATGCGTGTGTGTGCATGCGTGCGTGCATGCGTGTGTGTGTGTGTGTGTGTGTGTGTGTGTGTGTGTGTGTGTTACACCACCTCCTTGCTGACTCTTTTCTCCATCACTGCCTCCGCCCGGTCTGTACTCACACATGAGGATGTTCAGCAGTTCCGTCATCTCCTGCTGCAGGGAGTTGATTTTGGGATCTGGGTGTTTTAGAGGTCTGCTCTTTGCTCCTGGCTCTCCACACACACAGTCCCACTGCTGATCCAGGAGACTCTTGATCCTCCTGATGTGATGAACGATTTCCGGTGGTTCTGCACCCTCAGCTGGGGCTTCAGCAGGTTCCACCCTTTTAGTAGAAGTTACAGAATCCCGTTTTAGATGTCTTTCACCATTTGTTACAGTTGTTGTACATATGAAGGAGGAGGCTTTATTGTGATCAGGTCGGACAGACTTCACCCCAGTCTCATCTCCGTCCTGGTCTACCGTCACCCTCTCAGCTCGGACCCACACCCCAGGATTCCTAATGAGGTGCTCTATCTTATCATCTTTCCTCCTGCTCTCTTCCTGCTGCTCCCTCAACATCCCCAGAACCCTCTGGAGGTCCAGCTCAGTCTCCTGGAGCTTCTGGTCCAATGCAGCTACTTTAGCCTGCAGGGACGTCACAGTCAGCAGCTCATCCAGATCCGTGCTGGTCTTCCATTCATGCGAGCAGCTTGAATCATTCCGACGGATACTGTGATTTCTAGGAAGCCTTTCATCTTGACTTTTCCGCTGGATGCCCACTTTGCTGCAGGGAGAGGAAAGGCAAGGCTCCGTAGTTCCATTCATCTTGGATGGAGGGGCGTATGGATCCAGACCCAGACGAAGCCTTTCTCTTTCCTCCTGGAGGATGCAAATCTGAGCCCTGAGCTCAGGAATGACCCTCACTTGCATCTCAAGCTCTGCCACACATTCAAGGGCTTCAGTCAGGCGCCTCAGCAGCCCTGAACTGTCCTGTGGGTGAGGGCTGCCTGGAGGGTCAAAAACGTCCTCACATGAGGTGTTTCTTCCTCCCAGACGATCCCTAGAACTGCGGAGGCTGCTTTGGTCATCTGTGGACTCTGATTCTTGCCGTAGTAGCACTGTTAGTGGCAAACTGGAGGCCCGGAGGAGATGAGGCCTGATGTGCTCTCCGAAAGGCTGCTCATCAAACTCCTTGATTCTCGCCTCCATTTCGGACAGAGACTGGAGGCCAGTGGGAGACAGGGGTGTCCTGCGATTGTAGGCCCAAGACTCATAGCCATGATGATGATGGATGTCCAATGGTTGAGATCGGGGGCCAAGAGCTCCTGTAGACCCCCAGGGGCTTGGGCGGTAGCCGCCTCCTGAGGGGTTGAACTGTCTGGGCAGAGTGCTGGCCCGAGGTCCCTTACTTCTGCGCTGAACAGGAACTCTTTTGATGGTGTTTCCTTTCTCGATGTCATCCACATATTTCAGGAAATCCAGATCGATCTGGAAACCATACGGGGTCTCCACCGAGTACAGGGGCTTCCCCTTCACTCCATTCTCGGCCATTTTGTGACGTGAGATATAAGCTGTGAACAGAAATTACAAATAAGTATTTAGTCGCTCTTTCCTTTTCCTGGTACACCTCCTGTTTCTCCTGTTTTCTTTGTTTTTGTAAACGCTGCCTCCGGGGACAGTCTTTATTGCTTGTCATCGCTTCATGGATCTACCTCCTAAACATAAGGACGGCGTTACAAACAACGGATTGAATCGTTTTTCTGTCATTATCAAAATATAATTGAAATTATCTGGTAAAATAATGTCTTCCTATAGGTGAGTGTTTCTGGTCCTCCAGCTCCACTTGTGGGCCATTCCCATCTGTACCGGGTCGGCCCAGGCCGGGTAGCCCCAGTCAGCCCCAGCCTGGCCCGGTTGATTCCACACATCCTTGCCTTAAGCCCATGTGGGCTGATTCTACCCACCAATCAGAGGCTTGCTCTAATGGAAGGTGTGAGTTTGCTGTCAGCAGTGGGTGTGTTGGCCCTGGTCGGCCTGAAGCAGACCCCCTCGAGAAGAGGGCTGAGAATGAGCCTTGGTTGGCCCGGAAAAATACCAGGCCACCCAGATATGTAAACAACCTACGCTACCCGGCCCGGGCCGACCCGGTACAGATGGGAATGGCCCATTGGTTACCCTTAGATGAAAATCTAGACGGGATCCTAAATGGTTCTTTCAAGTCAGACAAAAAGACAAAAAAATCTTTTAATTGGAGGATTCTGACAAAAGTCAAATCTGACCTCAAACCAGAGTCGTGTCCAGGACTTTTAAAATGGGGTGGCCCTTGTGAGGCACTTGTTTATGCATGGGTGGCACCAATGGCCATGCTTATTTATTTATGTACACAAATCGTTTATTTATTTACTTTATAGTGAATTTTGGAGTTTCAGATTGCACAATCACTATTTTTTTCTATTCATCTTCTAGTTTTGTGGTGGTTAGCAAGTCACTTCTTGTTGCTTTATTGCCACCAACTGGAGTTGAGTGGGACTCTAAATACTATGTATGTGAATATGAAAAAATAATAAATAATATTAATACTACAGAAATGTTCTGTGGGCCTGGGCTAGAAGACAATGTTAAAGGTGCATGCTACCACACTATTTTTAGAGTTTACAACCCAAGCCTTTTGTCGACAGTGTAAAGTCAATTTAAACTGGAACTTAGTAGGGTGGCACCTGGGGTGGCCAATCAGATTCTAAGGGTGGCATGTGCTACCCCAGGCCACTCCCTGGACACGCCCCTGCCTCAAACCCATGTAGAACAGCCAATTTCTAACACAGGTTTCTGTGATGTGTCATGTAGACCGGAGCAACATCTCCTATCTTCTCCCTCAAACGCCCCGCTGTTGAATGAACTCATAAGGCTGCCGGTGAAAACATCCGAGCTATGCCGGAAAGCTGCTGCGTCGCTGCCATGATTTAGTTTGCTGTGAATTTCAATAGAAGATGGAAACCAGATTTAAAAAAAACAGCAGCTTCTAGAGAAATGCATTCTGGGAATCCATCGCATGTCTGCATGTGCAACAAGGTGGGGTTGCTCGCTTCATCTGATGAATGCTTGTCCGAAAGTTTTTCTATAAAACGCCAGAGGCTGAGTCGACAGGCTTTAACAGCTTTAAATCAACACTCTGTCTGTCTGTGTGTGTGTGTGTGTGTGTGTGTGTGTGTGTGTGTGTGTGTGTGTGTATTCTGAGAAATATCAAACAATTTGGCTTATGAACTTATATTTACATAGATATCCACGGATATTTATAAAATCGATAGAAGTTCATACACCAACTGGCTTGGTCTATATTTAATCCAAAGATTAATATTGTCACGATGTGGGCAGGAGGAAGTTTAGGACCCAAGATGCAGGAAATCAGATGAACGAGGCGGGAGAAGAAGAAGAAAATATCATTTCTATAGCGCCTCTCAAGATAAAAATCACGAGGCGCTTCACAAAAACAAAAAATATAAAAATTGTAAAAATATAAAAAAGCATTTCGAAAATGTTTAAAATATATTTAAAATGAGCAAGAATAAGCTGTTGCGATTTAAAAGAAAAAATGTTAAGAAAGAGAGAGAGTGAATAGGAAAGAGGGAAATCAGTGGATCCTGAGGAAGGTGGAGTAAGTGGCGAGAGCAGAAGGGAGCAGAAGGGAGGTGGAAGATGAAATAAAAGTCCTTTATTAGGAGTAATCCGAGACGGCAGGGAGCCAAAAACCAAAAATCCAAATGAAAACACCAGAGATCCAAAAGAACACTAGAGAACTAGAGACACTAGAAGCTAGAGAGCAACGAGAAACGAGACTGACACGAACAATGGACCGACAAAATACTGAGACACAGACAGGGTTATATACACAGGGGAGGATGAGAGGGAGATGGGCTGCAGGTGTGTGGGGAGAAAGAGATCAGGTGAACTCAATTACTAATCAGGGAGGAAACAAACATGACCTAAGAATAAAACCTACAGACAAGAAGAGCAGGAACATAACTAATAATCTAAGGGGGAGGGGGGGGGGGGACCTCAAACCCCGATGGAAAAAACACTAGAGAGGCTAAATAATATCAACAGCTGTAGCTAAATGAAAATGACCTGAGAGAAAAACCTAAAGACCAGAAGGGCAGAAAACATAACTAAGGCCTAGTCCACACGTAGCCGGGTTTTTTTTAAACGAATATCCGCCCCTCCAAAAACTTGCATCCACACCACCTCGTTTTTAAAAAGAAACTCTGTCCACACGTACCCGGATAAATACGTTGTTAAGGACATGCCAGACCTGTAGGCGGCAGTACTTCCCCCGTTCTTAACCTCGTCCTTCGTCTGTGGTCTTCCGCAAGGAGCAGTAATTCCGCTTGCAAAAACAAACAAGCAAAAAGCGCTTGGACAATTGATAAAGCGAGCGCAGCTGTCGGCTAGCGTAAACACAGGTCGCACACGTGATGTCAGCAATTTTTTGTCGTGGAAAGTGACGATAATAATTCATTTCAGTAATTAAATACATTTATAATGAACCTTGATGATTATTTATGAACCTTGTAATAAACAGTGAAAAGAGTTTATTAAAAATTATTCTTTTAAATCTTGAAGTGTCCTTCATCTTGTGGATGGAACAGCAGTCAGATTAAAGATGGTTTACAGCAGACTTCGTGTCCCCTGTGATGGATAATCTATGAATAGAAGTACAGCCAGGACAGCTCGACCCAGCTGGGGAAGTGTGACCTTTGGGTCACAAATGAGGCCATTCATGTCACTACACTTGTTTTATAGAACTTTCTGTTCTTTTCTCACATTTTTAGACTCATACTTCTGTTTAACTTAGTTTTTCTGCATGGTGTGCAGCAGCAGCCTCATTTGACCTTGACCTATTTCTAGCAGCCGGGCGTTCGGCGAACAGCTTGAAACGTTTGACTTGAAGGAACATCTCTAGTTTTTGGTCCACGCACCAAAAGGTTTCCTAAATGCAAACTCGAGTGTTTTCCACCTTCTACTGTTTTTCCTGCGTTCCAAATGCTTCATTTCTTCCATTCACCAGGCAGCTGTTCTTAGCAGGGGCAGGCCCTGATCATGGCGTGATTACAGTCCTGCTGTCCACAACGAGAGCCTAAAATAGCTACTTTGGGCCTCTGGTTCTGGCCAGCAGTGAAAAAAAAAGACTCGTACTGACACGAACACAGCCAGCCATTGTTCTGGCTCCTGTAGGCTCTGCATCATCCCTCTAACTCGTTTTACTTCCTCTCACTTCCTGCTCCTGTCTGCTAAAGTGTCTGACTACACCGTAGCGAAACGCCATCTTTTATTTATTGTTTTCGTTTTGTAAACTCTCTCTTCCACCCTTCGCTGCGATGCTCCCTCCCTCTCTTGACCACCGGCCTCTGTGGGAGCTTGCTGTCATCTGGAGGCACCACAGTCGCCAAGCCACAGCCCCAAACAATTTCAGCTATGCAGAGAAAACAGACAAACACCCCCGAATGGCCGTGCCAGGAATTTCAACCTTTGACGTTCACACACCCTCGGATGACCAACAGTAAACAGCAACAGATCCACTAATTAAAGGTAGTGATGTGCACGTCTCACAAACACCAAGGTTAGCTTGTGCAACAGGGGCTGAGGACCAGTGTTGGGCAAGTTACTTCAAAACTGTAATGCATTATTTATTACTTGTTACCCTCATTTTAAAGTAATTCATTACATTACAATATTACTGATTTTAAAATGTAAGGCATTACACTACTTTTGAATTACTTCAAGTTACTTTCACCAGTACAACTTCAATATGAATCTGGTAATGTGACGCTCAGTGAGCTCATGACATGTATGTGGAAGGTGATGTGGTGTCTGAGCTAGGGTTGCTGTTAAAAACAGTCAGATATAATAACAGTGCTTTAAAATGATTGTTTACTAAATAAAAGCAACAACAATCTGTACTCTCAGCACGCTGCCATCTTATATTAACTGAGCAGGGAGTGAGGTGGTGGGGGCTCCAAGCCTATATTTGCCTTGGTCCCCAAATGCCTTGATACGGCCCTGGATGTGGGACTGACTTCTGGGGTGATCTGATTCCACCACATGTATAAATATTAAATGCTTATATATTATTGCTTTTCACTGGTAAACATGTGTACTGGGGATAAATCTACCTACTTTTTTCTTTTTTTCTTGATTTTATTTGAATAATTTCCGGCCCTTTCTCTCTCTAACCTTCCTGCATGCTGCATGTTTTCTCCGTCTTCCAGAAAAACTGTTTCCTAGACTTCCTACTTTCTAACGATCAGCCAAAGGGATCTTCACATGCGCGGCGCTCCAGCAGCAATGAGTTGAAATCACCGGGGCACAGATTATGAACTCAGCTGAGGCAAAGCACGTCAGAAAAGCACAAAATACCAGAGAACATGCGCTGATATGAACGATCGCAAGTGAATTATTTTGGTTTAGTGGAGCGATTTTGTGAATGTTCCAGCGGCCGCGTGCAGGACGCAGCTGAGCCATTGCCGCTGCGTCCTCTCTGCCCGCAAAGCTGAGTCCATAAATGACGTCATATATGCAGATACTGGATCTTTCTTCGGGTTTCCCGCAATTTCAATTTTTAAGGAACACATCTTGATTCTGGGTTTAAAAATGCATTGTAATCACCGCGTTACTGACACTTGTACCGAGTAAATATTACCATTTTCTTTCCCTGTAATGCCTTACATTACCACATTACAGCAAAAAGCAATGCATTACAGTAATTAATTACTTTTGTACCACATTACTCCCAACACTGCTGAGGACAGACACGTCTGGGAAACTGTAGGTTTTATTTTTGACACCGGCTCATCTCGGGGAAGGCGTTCGAACTAGACTGGCTAAGTAGCAAGTTAGAATTCAACCTCGTAAACAACGAGGCAAATAATTCACACCTCAGTTACCTACCCACGTCTGCAGACCTCTCTGTCTGCTGCCAGCTCCTCGGTAAAGTAGGTAGCTAATGATTGTCTTTAACTTTGTCAGGAACCACCGATTTACTCATTTGTCTATGTTATTGAAATGGACGCTTTAGGACAGAGAACAATCCTCCAGCATCTGACCCTGAGACTGTCAAAATGACCCAAAAAAGATGTTCTGGCAGAAATAGATGTCCAGTCAGTGGTCACCTCAGCATGCATCAGTCATTCTCAGTCCAAACGGAGGACTGGGCAGACTGTGGGTGCTTTGGGACGGGGACGGGCTGTCCCTTCCCTGTCCTCCCACACCGTAGTCAGTCCATGGTTTCTGCCTGGGGCTGGTTCTGCTGGAGCTCGCTTCCTGAGTGGAACTGGTTGTTTTTTCTTTTTGGTTCTTTGAGATAACTCTTGTAAGGAAAAGACTAGAGGTTTTAAAAATGCTTCCATCTGAACTCATGCTGCTTCTTTTATCAGGGTAAATGGTCATTGTGAGTTCTGGGAATAAATGGGATAACATGACACACGTTTTCCGGAGAAATTCCCCAGGTAATCAGGTAGTTTCCAACCACTAGTTCAGACCTCACTGTTGCCTGTGGGCTGTCCCCTGAAACACAACAACAGACCTGTGCAAGGCTTTCTGACCGGGTTACCACAGAGAAAATAATACGGCAGAGTTCGAGTTTGGTATTTCCCCGGAGTCGTTGCCCAACGCTCCACATGCTCGAGCACCCGGCCCACCTCACAGGAAACCCAAGAAATGAAATGTCAAGTATCTCCGTCACCCCTAACAGGCCCCTGTGAAACAGCAGCCCTCTGGAAGCTTCTTTTAGTTTCCAAAACAACACGATACTTTCCCAATGACTGCATAATTCAAAGGAAATGTCTGGGTTTTAATGTTTTATTGTTTGAGAACAGTTGCCCTTTATCCTCCTGTTCAACAGCTTCCTTCTTTTTCTGGTTGTAAGACAAACCGTCAGGATCTCGATGAGACAACATGAACCCCACAATCACAACAAGTCTGTCCACAGCGCTCCCTACCACAGCCACAAGGAAACATTCACACATGACTCATGGGAGCAGTCTCCAAATGCAGGAGTC